GGTCGATTTGAACAAGTGAAAATACATCATTAAACCAAGTATCACATCTTATAAAATTAATTCTTAACTAAAAATAGAAAATCAATTTGTCAAAAACGTAATCTGGGTTCAGTTCGTTGGTGTTATCTCGAAACAGTCTCCACTTGCATTAAAAATTGCTATCGGCTAAAATATGAATTCAATTACACGGTATTACAGAAGAAGAAAAAAATTGAAGTACAATTTAATTAATCAAACATACAAGAATTATTTTATTCAAACTGACAAACTTTTACAACTAAAAAGTGCTAGAAATCTTATATAACATATTATTGTACATAACCCGCATTGTATATATACATGTATACAAGCATAGAGCAATTTATCATGAACTTATATGACAGCGATGAGGTAGTTTTACTTTCATGTATACAATAAATTGTGAGGTTAACACAGGAAATGCAACATGTAAAACCTGACTCAAAGATAAAAATGATGGGAAATCAATAGTGATATTCTTCAAAAGGTATGTAAACACTGAATTAAACACAGCAAATAATGATTTCAATAAGCTCCAATAACAAATATATTTTAAACCAAACGCAGTAATGGACATCCTAGCTGTATTTTTTTGTCTTCTATTGTAAAACAATTCAAGGCATTAAATGAATTACAAGAAGTCAAATTTGGAATGTAATAGTTGAACACATAAAGTACGTCATTAAAAATATGTGAGCTGACGTATAAGAGGAATAATACAAATGATGTAAACTCCTAGTGTTTGACTTTTATAGGAGGAATAACAACTGGTTTACTTGGGTTTTGTATTATTTTAACGTGCTATTTGAAAGGAAAATCTATTTTAAGATACGTTTATTTTTAACATACAACTTTTTGGTCACTTTCATATCACGGATGAGTTAACAGAATAAAATTCAAATATATGATACTTCCATTGTAATAACTGTTGCATTCTGTTGTTCATTTGTGCGTCCAGCAGTTTTATTTACGATTTTTCAGACGGAACATCAAAACAAATAAGGCACTGCTCTTGTTTCCTTATCCCAACTTTTGAATTACTTCTATTTTTCGTATTTCTTTACTCTTGTAGCTATAAATAACGAATTCTATAATAAAATATGTTAACACTAAAACAAATAATTTTATAACATAACCTCAAAATGTTTTATTCTTACATTAACTTTTATTTACATCTTATGTAGATAGTCAGGAGACGACAAAAATCTTTGTAGGAAGATGTTTTTTTGTTAAAACAACAACCACACTATAATGTACAATTCTTGTGACAAAGATATTAATTACCTAAACACGACGAAAACAATATAACTCAATGTCTTTATAGTGATTAAGTATAACAGATTGACGACTAATCTAATTACCATTATTTTTTTATAATCTGTAAAGGTTTTTATTTTCCGTTTGTTTTTTCATTCAAATACGCAATGAGGTGTAAGATCATGTCAGATGTTTTTCTATTAAAAAGAACGTTTTAGATCCATTGTCTGTTAATTATATTGTTTCAAAAACATTTAAATGTTTATGTTTAATAACAAGCATAAGAAAAAAAGTCTAAAATGAAATGTCTGTATATTATGTTAAGTATTCATTGCAGACATAAATCTAAAATATAAAAATGTATGAAGACCTTAAAAAAACTTGCTCAAATTGCTCATACTTCATCTTATAAGTCAAATAAATAAACAAATATGCACGTGTTTTCCTTTATTTCTCTTATACACGTTTACAAAAAGCCCCTAATTTGTCGTTCGTTTGACATTCACATGTGTCTTGTTGCAATCTATATAAAGTAGAACTCTAATCGTGATTATTTTAAGACTTCCGTATCAATTCAATTTCTTATAGACGGATACTAAAAGCACATTGGATCTTCCTACACTTATTATGTTTTTATTTGACATGTAAATGATAGATGTCAATAACAGGAATGTGACAATTCATTTAAATATCATAGACATATATAAAATAGTCCCTCTTTGCGTGAATAAATGTAAATTCAATCCATTATTTGGTATTAATCCAGGTGAGTTTTTAGAACATGGGCTCATAGTTGTATATCTCTAAACACAGTGTATGTGGAGTTGCAACTACACGTTGTAACAAAGCAAAGGTTCAAAACTTACATTTTGTGGCTAAATTTCAGACGAAGAATAAATATAATAATAATAAATACTTTATTATGGAGCAATACAGCTTACAGATATACATTATGGAAAATAGCTAGTGCATCAGTGACCTGATAATACCAATATTCACTGTATCAGTGATATGATGATATCAATAGTCACTGCATCTGTGACATGATAATACAAATATTCACTGCATCAGTGACATAATAATACCAATATCGAATGCATTAGTGACATGATAATACCAATATGCACCGCATCAGTGACATGATAAAACCAATATTCACTGCATCAGTGACATGATGATACCAATATTCACTGCATCAGTGACTTGATTATATCAATATTCACTGCATCTGTGACATGATGATGCCAATATTTATTGCATCTGTGACATGATAACACGTATATTCATCAGTGACATGATTATATCAATATTTAGTGCATCAGACACATGATAACACCAATATTTAGTGCATCAGACACATGATAACACCAATATTAGGTGCATCAGTGCCATGATAATACCAATATGTAGTGCATCAGTGACATGGCAATACCAATAAAGTCTTATTTTCATTTCACATTTGAAATGAAAATAAAACTTTGGAAGTTTAGGGCGTCCGAAGCGCTTTTCTGGATTTACATTAGCCATACAGGAAACGCTTAAACGCAAAAGGACAAGATATGGTAAACTCCATTCCTGGATTTCCTTTTTCAAGACTTTAGAAACTTTGTAGTTGAAACCCATCCCGCGTGTGAAATAATCTGTATTATCTCTTCGTCCACGTAGCACCTTATTTTGTTATATTATGCGCCCCGGAGAAGAAATTTAACACCGAAACCAACGTAGGTCATCCTGAAAGTTTCACCATTTAATTCTAATCTTATATATCTTTCATTTTATTAAATATCATGATGGTCAACTTTGGTGCTTATACTTTTAATTTAAAAAAATATATCCAATTGTTTACAATTTTGACAAGTCCGTTTAATACTTCAAATGAAATCCAAAGATGTATAATAAAACCTTTCTACTATAAGAGTAAATATAATTTTAATTATTATTATCATTGACCCTTAAAACGTTAGTAAAATATTAACTGCAATGCTTTCTATAGAACCTTAAAGGAAATACAGATACATATTCGTTAGAAGTTGCAGTGATATTTGTAATAATTAAATGATTTATTTTTTTGCTTGGCCAAAACAACCGTTAAAAATCATGAAAGACTTTCACGGTGAATCCTGTAAGATTACGTCGTTAACTCTTATGGTACTAAATGAAAGGGTGGTTTTACGTAATGGACCAGTTAGGAAATGGTTCTGCATTATGGAATGGTCACTATTTTTAACCTTCTGATTGGTTAAAACGTCATTTATGATGACACTAATAATCGCAACATTATTTACAAAGACAAGAGTTGAATTCTGAATTGGTCCATTAAATGACAAAATTGTAACTATTATTGTATTTTGAAAGAGTCTAAATAAACTTTTTAGGAAGACATCATCGACGGTTTTTCTTAAATCTACCTACTATAGTAGACTTGTTGTGACATACAACCAAACCTGTCACACAAGTCACATGTTTTAAAAGAGGACAACCAAATTAAAATTACCCGCTAAATAATCGAATCTGATCGTCTGTTAAAATCTAGACTAATGTTATTTGAACTATGTAACTGATTTCACATATTAGTTAACTTATTTTTTTTTCCAACCCAAAATGAAACTTTTTATATACTAATCACTCTATCAGATACAATTTAACTTAAAAAAAAAAGCAGTTAACTACCCACCGATCAAAAGCAAAATATGTTATGTGATATGACCAATTTTCCCTTGTTTATATATTTTATTACAATCAGAGGATCAGAATCGGAAAGTGGAAGAAACCAAGTGGAATTTCATTTTTAACGAATAAATGATATTTTAAGATATTAGATAATTTTGCATTTACGAGTTTTAAACCGAACAGTAATTTAGCGCTCCGCATTGCACTTGAAAATGTAACTTTGATACATTATTGCAAAATTCACATTTTTTTTGTAACTGAAATGAACAAGTTTGAAAAGTAATTAGAAAGCTTTAAATTTGATAGAATTTTTGAATTAGTTTGAAATATGATGATCTTTCTTAATTTGTTCTTTATTAACACTCAACATTTGACAAAATCTATTAAAATTGCAGGTTCGAGCCATCTTCAAGCATTTATAATATGTTTATAAGTTTTAAAATATAACACATACATAATGTTAATGGAACCTCGGAGTGCACAGAAACTGTTTTACTATGATTATTCGTAAACAATGAATGAATAAAAAAATGAAAATAGTCAAGGTGTACGAAAATTAGTAGGAAAATTAGTACTTTTCTTTGTCTGAGTTGATTACCACATTTTACTGTGTGTTAAAACAATTGAATTATTTTATTTACAGGTTTCCAACTGCAACATGGAACGGCGTATTTGAAACATACAAATTACAATGAAATATAACATCCATTGCCTGCTGTTAATGACAATTGTAACAACAGGATTTGCTTGTCAGAAACCAGACTGCGAATTTCGGAAAAAGCAACTACCTGCAATGAATATATTAAATAGAAAAGGAAAAAGTTTATCTACCACAGCAATACTATATCATATAAAAGTTCCTGACAATGTTCTTGAAGGATGTATCGTTAACACAACACGTTACTTCCAAGAGTTCAACTTCAGCGAAGACATGGAAAATATAGTCGTTTTCATCTTCCGATGTGGACAAGTTCACCCGATTTTTCTGACAGAATATGGGGGCAAAAAATATTCCAATATTCTTGCTTATATACAGATTACAAGGTGTACAATAGGGCACTATGACATTCAACAATTTGCCAGTGCTACGACTTTGTTGGTCATTACGATGTTTGAAAATAAGTACGATCCTAGAAAAGAAGCATGTTTATCTTATTCCAGAAATATTTCAAGCTGTGCGGGTCTGGAAGGTGTAAAGTCTCTAGCATTTACTACCCCACCTAATACTACAGCCTCCAATGTGATTGAAATAGTAAACTGCACTAAAGTTTTTCCAAATATTGCAGAATTATCATTATCATCTCAAGGTTTCACAGAATTCCCAAACGAATTCAAAAGAAAATTTCCGAATATTCAAACATTAGAATTGGAAAAGAACAATTTATCAGTTCCTCCAGAATTTCCATGGAATGATAACCCAGAAATCCTAGGTTACAATTTATCTCGATCGGTTTACCATGATAATCATTACGCTGCTCCTTATTACTTACAAGTTCCTAGAAATATTTTCCGACGCTATTTAAACATAAACTTCAATAAAATCGTCGACTTACGAACCTTTGAATTTACAGGAAGATTAGATATGATATCAATTAAACATAACAACTTAAGATATATAAACGAATATACATTTACTAAACTCACTGGTTTACAAAGTTTAGATTTAAGTGAAAATTTATTAGAAGAAATTCCATCTGGTTCTTTCTACGGATTAAAAGATTTAAGGAATTTAAATTTGAAGAATTGTTCATTAGCAAAACTGGTCAAGGACATATTCCGTGATCAGAGTAACCTCATTAATTTGGATTTGTCTGCAAATGCTCTAACCTCACTTCCTCATGATATATTTGCAAGACTTGAAAAACTGAAGAGAATACATCTTGAATCCAACAAGCTAACGTCAGTTCCATCAGAATCATTTCCTGTTCTAAGTTTACATCTTGAAGAGGTTGGTTTACAGTTTAATCCAATATCTGAATTTCCTGTGGTCGTTTTCTATTTACGTCAGCTGAAGAGAGTAAATTTAGGGTACACCAATATTAACTTTAACAATGTTCGTGCTCTTCTTGAAAATGTCAGTTATACATATTTAGTAGAAAGTACTGTTGAATCAACAGCAACAAACAATGTCAACATTAACCACAGACTCACTAAAACCAGGAAGAGAATGATTGACCTTACAGGTAGTAATGTTACTATAATTGGATTCGATGCTTCAAATGAAAAGGGCATGGGTAGTAATGTTACGAGAATAGGTCATTCGAAAGACGTGGAAACATATTTTAGATTGATTCTGCAAAATTTTAACATTATCCTAGACAAGAATGACATATTGTGTGACTGCAGAATAATTTCTTTTTCGAAATGGATAAAATCACAAGTTCAGATCGGTGAATTTAATGGAGACGAATATTTCTTTTCTGACTGGAAATGTAAACGACCAATCGGGTTAAACGAGAGGTCGCTGCTTAGTGTGACCGAAGAGGAAACATATTGCGAAGTCGATGTTGAATTCTGTCCAACCAAATGCAGATGTTTCCGGTGGTCCGTTAATAATATTATAATAGTTGACTGTCGAAACACAAGTTTAACAGGTTTCCCAGAAAAACTACCTGCAGGAACCTTAGATTTATGGTTTCAAAATAATAACATTACACATATTCAAGAAACGAACTATTTCGCTCGCGCTAGAGATATCATTTTAAGTCATAATTCTATAAGTGATGTAAGTGATGACATTATCAACATTTTGGGAGACGATATAAGAAAACTTTATTTAGATTCTAATTATTTGATACATTTGCCAAAGTTAATACAACGACTATCTGGTGTTCGATTTCACATTAAAGATAATCCTTTTGTATGCGATTGTAAGACACTGTGGATGAAATCATGGATATTAAAACATCAGCATATGGTGTCCGATTGGATGGATGTCGCATGTGCTTATGGAAATGAAGGAGGACATCAGTTGATATCCGTGGAGGATGACAAGTTCGTATGTCTTGAAGCCTTTAATACTTTTAAGCATGTAATTGCTCCGAGTGTTTCGTCATCTGTTAGTGTCCTTCTGTTTATAGTTATGTTAGCATGTGGTTTCGTCTTCAGATTAGAGCTAAAAGTTTTAATTTTCATATACTTTGGACTTCATCCCTTTGACAAAGATGAAAAGGATGAAAATGAAGATCTAGACTGTATTGTTATACATTCTAAACCGTTAACGGACTGGGTGATGGAACATGTGGTTGCTCCGTTGGAAGCAGGCGACAAAGCTTACATGGTTTGTGAAATGTCACGAGATTTTGTAGTCGGTTTTTCATATCAAGAAAATATCTGTAGCATTGTAAGGCGAAGTAAAAGAATGATTTTAGTACTATCGGAAGACTTCTTAGTCGATTCTGATATTGTCAAAATAGCATGGAATGAAGCACAAGAAAAAATAAGAGATATGCGCACAAATTATGCAATTATAATTTTTCATGAAATATCGATGAAATCAATTGATAACAAAGACCTTAAAAGATATATTAAAAGGGGGAGATATATAAATACAAGCGAAAAATTATTTTTTGAAAAAATTCTTTATCTAATGCCCCAGTACACGAACATTAATCATAGAAAATTTCCAAATCTAAGAAAAATAGTTCTTGAAACTTACGAGAATGGAGATGATTTAGATACTGAAGAAGTGCATGCTTTTTTATCTTATTCAGACAGAGATATTCATATTGCTTTGAAGACACTCACTCCTGTTTTACAGGAACTTAGATATATTCTTCATGTTCCAGATCGAGATTTCATTCCTGGTGCTTCAAAAGAAGAGAATATTTTAAACGCTATAGATATATGTAGACATACAATTTTCCTTTTATCAGGACCCTATTTAGAAGATGAATGGTCATTGTTTACGTTTCGAACTGCATCCGAAAAGTCTATCAGACATAAATGCAATCACATGATCGTAATAGTAATTGATGGCCAAGAAAACGTCTATATGGACGAAGAAGTGAAATATTATATAAAAACACATGTGACGCTTCATGTTACTGATCCCTGGTTTTGGGAGAAATTGACAAAAGCATTGCCAAGCGAACAGGACAATAAACTTCAGCTAGCAATTCTAAATAACAGAGTTAATAATCATCTTTACCGACAAAACTCTGTAGATGATAGACAAGTGGAAGAAAATGGAAGAAATATATACCGACAAAACTCTGTAGATGATAAACAATTGGAAGAAAATGGAAGAAAGATGTACCGACAAAACTCTGTAGATGATAGACAATTGGAAGAAAATGGAAGAAATATATACCGACAAAACTCTGTAGATGATAGACAATTGGAAGAAAACGGAAGAAATATATACCGACAAAACTCTGTAGATGATAGACAATTGGAAGAAAACGGAAGAAATATATACCAACAAAACTCTGTCGATGATAGACAATTGGAAGAAAACGGAAGAAATATAATAAGGAACTGTCTTCCAATGCAAAATATAAATGAAATCCAAGAAAATAACAATGAAAACAAACAAGAGGACTGCGCCTTAGAAACAAGGTGTTAGCCATAAACATGTTCATATATACATGTAGACCAATATCATTTTATAGCATAATGTCATGATGACAAATTGTTTTATATTTTTGTACACCTCAAACATATCATATTGGGCTTATATTGCCCTGTGAACTCACAAAAATATTACAGAAGTGTGTTACCGTTGTTGATCATATTTTGTAAGTTTAGACATAATACAGAGAGTACAAATATTGATAGAAATAGACTTTCAATAATGTGTGACTAAATTGACACGAAGCGCAACCAAAGTTTTTGCAAGCGAAGAGCACAATAAGCATTTCCCATGTGTAGAGAACATTAATTGCATTGACTAGCTCAATTGAAAAGAAATATGTATACACATAAAGAAATCTAGCATTAAATGAAGTTCACAGAATCAACATTTATTTCTGCAAATTGGACAACATTTTTAATAACATTAGATTCTTGGACACATTTGGACCCAAACTGTCACATCTAGTATAATGTTTAAGATTAAAATATTGACTGAAAATGTTAATAATAAGAAACACAGTCAATAGTGACACACTAGAGAAAACGGATTTTATGAACGATTAATAAAACAGTGAAAAATCTAAGTAAGTATAAACTACAAAATTACATGTTTTCTACATTGTAATTATTGAACTAATCATAAGTAAGATATATGTATAGGACATAAAGGAGACACGTTTTACATGTAAATAAGCCTAAACTATTCAAGGACGGCCTGTAAAACAGTTTGTAAAACAGATCCATCCCTAAAACATTATCAAAATTTAACAAATGAATGAAGACAAAATCCTATGCGAGGTAAAAGCTAATATTAAGGTTCAAGAACTAATGAAAAGGATAACGAAGTGCCAGGACTTATTAACAACTTTTGGGAGAAAAGCAGATGTACATTGTGTAATGGAAACACATAAAACCTCATTCGTCTACAGATTTTATAATAGTACATTATGTATGTTACTTTTGATGAGAACAACGGAATAGAGCCTAAACCTTTGAAAACAGGTTACGATATCATATTTCATATTAATAATTCCTAAGATTTCATACATAGGAATAATATATCCCCAATAATCGCAATGAAACGGTCGCGTATACAACTAAGCAAGAAAAATCACTTCTATTTTGTCATGATTTTGCATAAGGCATAATGATAGGCAAACTTCAGTTAGCTATCTCGGGTGAAGCTTTGTTTTTTCCCAAGCTGGTGAGTAAGCAAAAGAAAAAGTTTACTTTTATATTGCTAATGGTGGAAAATATTTCTCAATCTTTAAATGCAAATTTGACTGTTTTTAATGTCGATGTGGGACTAGTATTTATATTTACACTTTATCAAACTTCTATGTCTTTTGAAAACTAATTTTTTTGTAGTTTAAAAGAGAAAAAAGAAATCAATGTTATAAAAAAAATATAGATGTGGTATGGCTGTCAATAAGATAACTATTTAAAAAAAAAGAAACGACAAAGATAGATATGAATAATACTGGTTATCATACGGTTTTCAACAATGGTCAAAATCCATACCGTATGGTCAGCTATATATACTGATGAACTGGGTTGACAAAATGTAAAACAATCCAATAGAAAAAACCAACGGCCTGATGTATACTACATCAATGATCAACCGTCCACCCCCACTCAAACTGGGACAGTAATGTCATAAAACGAACTGTAGACATCAATTGAAAAGATATTGACTCATCAGATCAGTACTAAGCATTAAGTAATAAATATCTCTACATCATTTGGTCACTTGTGGATAGTTGTCTCATTGGTAATCGTACCACATCTTCGTTAATTTATACATAAATAAATAACAAAAGGACAAAGGACACAGAGTACCAATCAAAGAGTACCCGCAGTTACTGTAATTAGATCAAAGCCCAATTTCCACTTATTATCCCACACCATAATATTAATCAGTACACATCCAACGGATTAAGTATAGTAAAGACGCGGTAAGTAGTTCCTATAGATTTCTCTTTTTGTACATGGATATTTTCATAATTGTATTTCGTCCTGAATATGCATGAAATATTTGCCACTGGACGTTAAGCAACCAACAATCAATCAATCATAATTGTATTTGTTGAAGGAAAGAACTGAAGACTAGAGAAAGTATAGCAGCCATGATTTTCCTTAAAAAGTTAAAAAATAAATAGATAAAATCGATTAAATCTTTTCACAAACTTTACACAAATGCCATATTTGAAATTTAACCACAGTTGCCATTGTACTCTCATTTAACAAATATATTTCACTCATATCAACGTGTTTCTATGAAAAATCTTGTGGCGGGGTCCTTTTTTAAGTATGACTAAATACTTTAGATTTGAATATCTAAACACAAATGCAGTTCTAAAAATCTGAGTTTGCTTTTTAGTCTTAAGTCTGTTTTCGTTCTACACAAAGGTGTTTCCATTTCAATTACAGGACAACAATCGTCATAAGAAAGTTTATTACAAAACACAGAATGATATTTGACAAGGAAATGCTGTAACTGCTCTTACTTTTATGGCGAATTTACATTCATTTTTTCTTTCATCTTACTATTATCTATGCAGATACTAGCATTTTTCATTACACAAATATTAAACTAAAACATAATAAAAGACTGTTATATCATTAATTTTCCCAATGCTTGTTCACGGTAAGGTTCCAATTATAATTCTAATTTTTATTGAGTAAATGTGACCTTAGCGTTCAAGGTATTCACTTCAAAATTGATAGAAATCTTCAACTCATATTTGTAACTACCAATGTTAGCGTTTGGTTCATCATCAGGAAATCCTTTTTATACTCAATGTTCAGTCTTTTTTTTACTTTCTGTGACCGTAACCTGGGATAAATAAGAAAGAAATTGACTAAATGTTACCATATACAAAATGAAGTTCCAATTCCAAGTAGGATTGGCACTGCCATCTGAAACCATCAGAGATATTGCTAATGTAAACGTTTGACATAAATTTCACTTACTGCGATGAAACATTTTGGCATGAGGCACTAGTGGATTTTCCATATTGAACATGTATTTCAAAAGAGCACCCCCCTTGTGTCCATCTGATTGGTTGCGGTTGTTTGTGTGTATTTTGTGTCCATCTGATTGATTTGGTTTTTTTTGTGTGCTTTTGTGTACATCTGATTTGTTTTTTGTGTGTGCTTTGTGTCCATCTGATTGGTTTTTGTGTGTGCTTTGTGTTCATCTGATTTTTTTACTGTGTTTTGTGTCCATCTGATTGGTTTTTGTGTGTGCTTTGTGTCCATCTGATTGGTTGTTTTTTTACTGTGTTTTGTGTCCATCTGATTGGTTGGTTTTTTACTGTGTTTTGTGTCCATCTGATTGGTTTTTTTTGTGTGTGCTTTGTGTCCATCTGATTGGTTTTTGTGTGTGCTTTGTGTTCATCTGATCTTTTTTACTGTGTTTTGGGTCCATCTGATTGGTTGGTTTTTTGTGTGTGTGTTTTGTGTTCATCTGATTTGGGATTATTTGTGTGTGTTTTGTGTCCATCTGATTTGGGATTTTTTGTGTGTGTTTTGTGTCCATCCAATTGTTTTCTGTGTGTTTTGTTTCCATCTGATTGTTTTTGGTGTGTGCTTTGTGTCATCGGATTTATTTTTTTATAGATCTGATGTTTTTTTTGTGTGTGCTTTGTGTACATCTAATTGTTTTTTTGGGGTATTTTGTGTCCATCTGATTGTTTTTGTGTGTGTGCTTTGTGTCCATCTGATGAGTCAAGCCTTTTCAGCTGATTTTTGTAGTTTGTTCTTATAGTATGCTGTTAAACCACTGTCCCAGGTTTGTTGTTGGTTGGGAGACAGCACACATGTTTTAACCCATCTGCATTCTGTATGTGCATGTCCAAAGTTAGGAGCCTATAATTCAGTGGTTGACGTTCATTGTTGTATATTATATTTGTTTTTATTGTTTTTTTTTTACATAAATCAGGACAAATTTTTTCTTTGAATAAATACATTTGTCATGTCGGGGCCTTTTATAGCTTGCTATGTGTTAAGGGTTCTGCTGATTGTCGAAGGCCCTATATTTACCTATAGTTGCTAATTTCTACATAATTTGAACTGTGATGTAAAGTTGGCAATCATACCACATTTTCTTATTAATATATTAACATGGAATTATTATAGTGATCAATTAGTTTAATGAAGATTGTTTTATTCATTTTTTATTTGCATAGTTAAGATTCTGTTGCATTGCAGCTTTAATTAGTACAAAAATAAACATATTACATACTAATAGAAAATAAATTATAAGCAAAATCATGAAAAATTAAAATGCAATCAAAATGTTCAAATAAAACAAGATACTTCAACAACTAAAAATATTGCTTGCAACATCAATTTTAAACACACTTTTTCTCTGCTTTGGATGCTTCATTTATAAAATTACTTGTCAGCTCTTCAACGTTTGTATTCAGTCTTGGATTTTTAAATGTTTTGGCCTCAAACATCACTAAAGAGACTTTAACTTTGGATATATGCATCTGGTGCAGTAAAATTGATATAACAAACAAAAGTAAGAAAATAGTATTGAAAAAAAATATATTCACATTGATATGGCACCTTGATCATCTACATTAAACATGAATGCAAAGAAAACTTTCATGGAAATCTCTCTTTCAGTTAAACAAAAATCATGGAATCATATGTATTAAAAACTTTCAATTATATTGTGAAACAGTTAACACAGTGATATGTCTTGCCTGCTTTACCAAAATAGTAAATAAAAATGCATTTTGAAAGTCTGTCAAAGTCACTGAAGCATGACTAAGCCTTACAATCTGCTAGAAACTGAAATGAACGGGTGTAAATGCAACAGCATCAGAAATTAAATACCTCTCAAGGAACACACCTATACTTAGAACACTTCACCTCTCAACTGTGATAATATTTCAGTTATTGCAGCTGAACTGAGTGACAGAGTCTCATATTTTGCATGTAATCAATATGCATAACGATATGCAAATGTTTACAAAAATATACCAAATGTCAAATATGTATCATCTAAAATCCTTATTCTGAAATGGGCCTCACCAGAAGACATTACATCAGGTGTTAAAGACTGTCTCTGCTCCTCAACACTAGAAAAGTAATTCATATATCTGGCTTCTTCACAACATGTCACCAGAGAATGGCTTCTTCACAACATGTCACTAGAGAAAAACAATTGCACAAAGCTCACTAATCTATACCTTGTTTCACCATAGTTAAATAGATATGCAAAAGTCATTGTTTGCCTACAGAATAATACCAACGAAAATAAAATATGCATGAAAGGAGACAAGTGGTCTATATCAACTAGACAAAAACCTCTTAACATAAAACATAAAATAAAAGACATTTGGAAGTCAGCATATGATATTTAACAATAGACAAGTTTCTTAGTCTTCAATATATGTCATACCATGCTGACCAGTAAATGTGTGTGTCTGGTATTTCCGTTCATTTAACCCCATGTTATGAAATGAAAAGACCTACTGGAAAATGAAGTTACCAGACTTGAGGGTATGTCAATCTCATATATGCCACAACTATAGACAAAGTGAGACTGAGACTGAACAAAGTGAGACTGAATTCATCGTCTGAAGATTCTATGAAATTTTTGTTGAAATATTCTGGCAGTCAAGAGGAATAAATGATATAAAAAAGAACTCATTCTCTCAAAGATAGGACACATTCCATGTTTTGCAATAGGAAACAAAAATATCATTTGAAAAAAAAAAAAAAAAAATGTGGGTGTCTTTGTGTACTTTAAATTCACTAACCATTTCATTGAAATAGAGTCTATGGATTTGAAGTAGGTTTTGATTTACTAACCATTTCATTGAAATAGGGTTTCTGGATTTGAAGTAGTAATCAATATCAAGTGATGACAGATGAAAAAATGATAGGCAAACCACTATACACCTCCACTGTAGATAAGTGGGGTATAACTACTTACAAAATACAGTCAAATATGTAACAATCCCTGACCTTCTCACATCACATTTTAACAACACATTAATCAAAATATAACATAAAAAAATGACTCAACAAAACATATAAGTTCATGTAAACATCAAAACTTGTTACAAATATTTTTGTTATGATACTTTTATCAATGATATAAACTGAGGTAAGTATAAGATTACAACAATCTGATGGGGCTTATACATGTCAAAAATTTACTAAATACTACCTTGGAAGAAAGACAACTCTATCAACATTTGTTTAAGATCTATTGATCTCATTAATACACATCTTGATTTTGTTAAAGCTGGGAAATCCTTTTACTAATATAAATATATTTTTTTACTACTAAATTTTAAGTTCTATATTCCTTTTCCAGTTCAAACTCTCAGTAAAATAATTCATATAATTTGCTAAAAGGTAACTTTATTGTGAAAATTCAAGAAGTTGTTCAGTCTTGAATAGCACATAATTTCAATGGCTCTTTTTCTACAATGACATTTGAATGACCTTGACCCTATGACAATAAACATCAAGTTTTAAAAAAAAAATTTGTGTTGTTAGGGTGTTGTCTTATTGATGTATGAACCTCATCTCTTTTTATTGACAGGTTTCAAGTTCCACCAATTGCAAAGAAAATTAGATTCTCTACTCTTGGTCAAATCAAGATTTAGTGAAGATTTAAGATGCAAGAATTTAGCTCAATAGTGCCTTAAAGCGTACAAATCCATGATATTCTAACCCTGAACTTTGACCTTAATGTTTCAATGGTTTAAAGCTCATTCTATGGCTAAGCTTTGGATGATTTAATACAATTTTGGTAGCCATGGTCCTTATAATTTCTAAGGTTTTTTTTAAAGCTTTAAATAACAACAGAATTCAGATATGAGGTTGTTCAGGATTTAGAAAAAAATAAATATAATTAAGTTGGTAAAAGGCATTTTTATGCAAAAGTATATTACATTTTCTCTAAGGTAGGTATGGTAAATGTCAATATGACAGAAAACCAACCTAAATTAACCAAAGTCAACATGCGGTCTTTAAGGGCACATGATACAGTTACAGGGGAGGTAATGACATTGCTAACATAAAATGTTATTTTAAACGTCAAACTGTGACATATCGGGAAAAGATGCATTTTTCGAGTGATTTTAATCATTAGCTTGAAAACGAGTACATGGACCCCTCTTTTTTAAAATGACATTTGACTTGAAACTGTATGAAGATTATTTATTCCAATTTTTATAAAGAAATCAACGATGATTTTTTTTTAAATTAGATAAATATACAGCAAAAAATGCCTTTTTTTCCTAAAATCTTGAAAATTTAATAAAAATGAATTATTTCCAAAGAATTGTTACACAAATTAAGAGGATACTTTTGTAAAGAAGATATTCCAAATCATTTTACATAAATCTGCATGTGTTAATCTATTGAAACAAAAAGTTTAATATGTCTATCCAAAGGATAGAAATGTCCAAGAAACAGAAGTTTTAGGTAAATGTCTAAAATTTCAACCCCATTTTACTCTAAATTTAGAACATGAAGGTATATTTTTTAATTGACCAAGTGAAAAATAGCTTGTATGCAAATTTTCGTAAATAAATCACAGTGGGATCGAAACTGTGTCGTATGCCCTTAATGATGAGCACCAGTACTATATGGCAAGGTCAAAATCACTTATTGATCCCTTTTTTGTGTTTAGAACATTAAAGACTATTAACTACATTGATAATAAAACAAACAACTTTAGTGAAAATCAATATATACTTTAGATATTTAAGGTTAAGTTCTCCAACGAAAATATATCAAACATATAAGTACATACCTTTGCATAGGACAATTCAATATTCTTCAATCTTTCATAAATATAACTGCATTAACAAATTAAATGAAACGATATGTTAAACATTATCAATATGCAAAAAAGTTATATCACAAGTTTGTTTTTTGTACAAAGGATTTCAGCTGTGGAGAATCATCACTAGTTGTGACAAATTTCTCTGTTTCAAGTGGAGACAACTCCTTCAGAGGTATCGTCGAATCCGAATGTGGCTGAAAAAGAGAATAAAGATATTATCATAATAAACAATACTAACTACTGAATATTTGAAAAATTTTATAGAATCTTATTTCAAGTCACTCATGTGATCAATCAATGATACAAAGCTAAAAATCCAAATGCATTTATACACCAGTTACAAAAAAACAAATTCAAATCAAATATTATTACAAGTATAAGCTTTTTATCTCATTTTCCCAGTATTCTGATGCGAACACATATACCAAAACATCACACTGCAATGCTTACATATATGAACTAATATTCCAGGAATGTTCTCACCATAGCATTGTTAGTTGTATAGAATGCATATATCCCTTACCCTGTTTAAGTGGTGTTTTAATAGTCGTTATTCATAGTATCTGTATAAATCTGTGAAATACATTTACTGGACATGTATTCCTATTATTGTGACTTCAATTCTACTTAAAATATTAACTGTTTATACATACATGGACATAAACACATGCATCATGAAGATTCACATAATTTCTTTTTTAAATGTGTATTATATTCAGGAAAAGGAAAAGGAAGTAAGCTTTTAGAAAATCTTAGCTGGCTTCCAAATAAATGTCCATTTAATAAACAATTATTAAGCTCAGGTAGTAGTCTACTTACTCAGGAGCAAAATGACAATATCTTTAAACATGTGTTTTAGTTTTATTAGAGGGTTGAAAAGATTTTTTATTTTTAAAATTTTAGTGATTTTAAAATAGTAAAACATAACCACACACACATGACATCATCCTCTGAGTTCAGCTGTTTTTGGGGTTTTTTTTATTATTTTATTTCATAGTTGTTTTTTGTGTTCTATTTTTTTCCCCTATCTTTCTTCTTTTGCACCACTTAAATTTCTGTCCAAATCATACAAATGTTAAATACTATATAATGTATTCATGCTCTTATATATTGTATTGTTAGATATGTTGAATGGAGAAGGCTTCATAAGTCTGTTTGACTAGTGTCTTATCCAATTTGTGTTTATGCAAATAAAATATGTTTAAACTAAACATATGTAACATTGATCATAAAGTAATGATCACCTACATATTACATAGATTACAAATCTAATAATATAAACCGTGATGTGAAGTGATGTTTTGTAGTGTTGCCTATACATGTAATGAGAAAATACTATCATAAGATCATACCATAACTAAGCTGCTCCATTAGTGATTGGATTTTGATGGTTGTTGAATGTTTTACCTTAAGAGCCCACATTAACTCTGGAAATTTCAACTTTCAATTTTGAAACATGAAATACCATGAAAAAAATACCTTCCTAATTCTTATGCATGAAAATAAACAGAACACATTCAAAAGAAACACATGAACCCAAATTCCAAACAATCAATTAACACACTGGTATTAAATGTCTCTTGTACATGGTAAATGTCAGGGCTTTAATATTATAACTTTCAAATATCTCCTGTTCCAGGCATCAACTATACATTTATCACATCTTGCTTAAATTAGTGAATTATGATTGGATTAATGCTGTCGCATGATGACCCCCTATGGATCCGTACTGGGTCAATAAACTTTATATGGGGTTCATGACATCACATCTACTATTAATGGTGACATTATGAATTCATGTTATTACATTTCATAGTTTATTTTTATACAAAACTTGGCAGGAAAAGTCCTGTGTGCGATAAATTCATAAAATATGGTTTGCTACTGACCCCCTACAGATCCATAAAGGGTTAGTACAATCCATAGGAGATTCAGCCTCACCCCCTATGGATCAGTAGCAAACCATATCACTTATAGTATAGTACTCTTGCATTGATATGTAAAAATGTAAAATGCATAAATGATGAAATATATCTGTGTATTGGAACTTGTGGTAAGATCAGTGATTGGCTGTATAAATATGCATCAAATTCAGTTGCAGTCAGGTGTTTTAACATGCATGTCATTCAATGTAGATTCTGTAATTCGTTTTGCATGCTAAATTTACAAATCTATAAACTGTTAATGATAAGTAAGAGTAGGATAGCATTTTTTTTTTAAATTCATTGACACTGGGCATTCTCAAGTTGAGTTGAATGTTGGACAAATGGTTCCAAAAATATAGTCAAGAAACCAAAATTTTTCCAAATTTCAGTCTATCAATTACTTATATGACCTTGAATTTTGATCAATTGACCGCAAAATAAATATAAGTCTTCTTCATTCCATGAGGCATTATCAACAAAATGTTGGTAAAAGTTGGACATAAAGCTCAAAAGATAAAATTTGGAAACCAAAACTAGGCCCTAATTTTAGTCTATCAATAAATGCTGTGACCTTGATCTTAGACCTAAATCTATAAGGTTCTTCCTCATCCCAAAGAAAATTATCAAACCAAATTTGATGGCCCATAAGATTTTGCCTGAAAACTGTATCTTGACTCCCAGACATATTGATGGCATTCAGCATATTATAAGAGTTTGTTGCAACTCAGCTAAATATAAACTGCCCTTCCATTTGGATTTAAAATGACTATAAATATCCATAAAATTTAAAAAAAAGAAAGAAAAAAAAACACTGATAGAACATTGGATCCTTATTAACTCTTTTAAAATCATAGACAAATCACCTCAGAATTGTCTGCAGAACAAAGTTAATAATCTAGGAAGACATCTTCATAACCAATTTACACAATTTCTAATGACATTCAAACATGCCAATTACAAACAATAAATATTTCACGTATATAAACATACATACAATACTACATAACTAGAACATGTGCATGTTAATTAGGTAAAAAATGAAATGGTTATCATACACTGGACATAAATCACTAAAAATTTACCTGTTATCCTGTTTACCATGTTAATGAGAAATTACATGTATATATATTCATAAGTTTGTCTTAGTTCAAAAGCTACAGGTATATATATTCATAATTTTATGTTAGTTCAAATGCTACATATATATAAATGGTATAGTTAGTTGTCAGTCATCCAAAGATGGGAAAGTTAACAATTAGAAAATTAATAAAGAAAGGGTATTGGATATATCATTTTTCTAAAGAATTTTGATAGTGGGAGCTTTCAACAACAACAAAAAATTAGGTTGTCTTCAAATAGAAAAAAAAGTTTCAAGAAAAGCAACAAGAAACAGCTTCCAAAATGATTCAACTGATCCACCTAAGAGATTATACTATACTATCAGTATTTACTATCTTATAAGATAAAGTAATAAAACACTATTATTTATGAACTATACTACTACCTTTCACTGATCTCATAATCCCTGACTATTTATGACTTTGTATTTACCACAGAATATACATATTTGATAACTTCAAAATGTACTACAAAAATTTCATAATAGAACAGTACAACATTCAACACAGACAACACAAAAAAAACTGACGACATTAAAGCTGAACCTTAAAGCAATCTTTGTGGAACTGTAAAGCAATTCTGTTTCCATATGAACAAAAGGAAATGTCAAGTTCAGTTTTCACAGCTGTTTTAATAGATTCTTATGTTATGTTATTTACAGCATTGGATTACAAAGATTTGAAAGTTTACATGCTACATTGAGGTGTAGAATGACAGATTTTTTCAAACTTCAGTCTTGCTTATGTCACTCTTAGATGTGAAAATTGATGTGAGCAGATTTTGCCTGTGCTATAGTTTTGTGATTGCATATTGAATGTTAAACAACTAAAAATCAAATTATCATTGTATCCAATCATCATATGCCCAATTCAAGTTTTGAATCTGACTAAACATTCATATTGCTATGTGTTTCTTTATTCTACATTGGCTAGAGTTATAGGAGGAGGGTTGAGATCTCACAAAACATGTTTAACCCCGCCACATTTTTGTGCCGGTCCCAAGTCAGGAGCCTCTGGCCTTTGTTAGTCTTGTATGTTTTTTTAATTTTAGTTCCTTTATATGTTTTGGAGTTAAGTGTGACGTCCATTTTCACTGAACCAGTACACAATTTTATTTAGGGGCCAGCTGAGGACCACCTCCGGGTGCAAGATTTTCTTGCTGCGTTGAAGACCCATTGGTGGCCTTCAGCTGTTATCTGCTCTTTGGTCGGGTTGTTGTCTCTTTAACATATTCCTGATTTCCATTCTCAATTTTACATTGGAAGCAAAAAATATCAAAAGTGTTAGAAAAACAATAATTTATGTCAATTTAAGAATTAAACAGTTTACTGCCCTCAACCTGCAAACTTTGTTGTTTTCCAGTTCATGTGATTGAAATAAATATAAACACTGTGTGTGTGAAAACTGTAAATGACAAACAAACCTACTACAACTACAGTGTTATTTGTGTTAGTAACCAAACAAGTGCTTCACACACGTTACCTAATACTCATGATCCATAATATTAACAGTAGACAATGTAAGTTTCCCTGCACGCTTCGTAAATGAAACCAAATATTTATCTTCATTAGATTGGTAAGCCTTCAAGCAAAACAGGACACAAATACATTAACATTTCAGAGTTAACAAATCAGGGAAAAATTCTAGGCTTGAAAATCAAGCATCACATAACACGAAAGTCTACTCCATGTTTTAATTCTTCATTCTTTTAGTAATAATTTACATATAATATTGTTAACAGATAATTTTGTATTACATTTTAGAATTGATACCCTGAATTGTTGTCTCTCAAATCATTCAATGTTTTACCATTTTCATAGCAATATACTTGGCAATCAATCTATGAAATGTAAAATATTTGTAAAATTTCTTCTGAAAATATAACTGCAACACAATTAGCCAATCAATTAGAGTTTTGCTGGCCATTTCTAAAATATACAGTAGATAGAAATATTATATTTTTTTGAAAGAAAATGAACATATTTAACTTAAAATCTTCTGCTTATATGCAACATCAAAAATTAAATCCAATTATGTGGACAAAAAATCCATATTCCACTTTCTTTAAAAATCCACCTCCACTTAATTGGTTTAACTTCAGGAATATAAACCAAAACAACTTAAAACAAGGAGCAATCATCCGAAAAACAGGTCAACAAATAATAAAATGATGTTGACTTACTGTTCTCTGGTTTAAGGTTCTATTTTTAGTCTATATGATTTAATCATAAATTATCACTTACAAAAAAAGTGAAAGAAGTAAATAGTGCAATTTTAGAGCAAAACATACCTGTCCACAAAAGTTCAAGGGAAAAAATGAAGTTTAATTTATCTAATTAGTGTTTTGTGTGTTAAATATATAGTTAAAAGCTAATTGTAAATTAGGCTGCATGCTCGGATATGCTTTGCAAATATTCCTTGCAGGTAAATGGTATGACGGAACTTTTTAAACCTAAGGCTTTTATTATGCATTAGAGGTTCCTGTCAAAAACAATTGTAAACCTTGTATCCTCCATGTAAATTTTATATATTAAGCAATTAGGCAAATTGCACAATTACTTAATATGAAGTTCCAGAGCTGTTAAAAATTGCCTTATTACTTAAGTTACTCCACCCACAGAAAATCTTCATGTCTATTAGACAAGGAAATCTTGTCTAGGCTGTTAAAGTAGCAATTGCATATCCTGCATGTCCATGTAAATTGTCTTATATCGCCCATAAAAACATGTAATAAACAAATCAATCTGGTCAAGGAACAGTTTGTAATTTTATATGACAAGGAGCCAATTGCTGCTGATTAATGGTATCTGATCATATAGAACTAATCATCATTCTTGCAACATGTTATAAAAAAAAGTTGACAAAAATAAAAGAAAAAATTCAATTTTTTTCCTCCTGTATTTTTTTCTTTCACATGTGAATGGTCAAATTTTTCACAGCTCTATATCTTTGGAATGGGTCATGGGTCTTACTTTTAATAGATCTATTTTTATCTATTTTTGTCTCACAATGACATATCCAGTGTGTGCTGATGCAGTGTTATACTGCCATCAATAACTCAATCAATTAAAATATTGAAGAACAAGGCCGAGATAATTCATCAATGATCTGAAGGAAAAATAATTTGACCTTCCTGCCAAGAATTAAAAGTCTGGCTATGAAAAGTGCAGGGAAATGTAAGTGATAGTCATTAAGGTCTGCTATTTCAGTAGATATCGGTAAGGTAGATTTACATAAGGGATGGAGGCTTATGTTTTGATAGCATTCTTACACTTCATTCAGATAAGGTAGAAGCTGTCAGTTCCTGGCTCATCTTTATATTAGTACAGACACAAAGAGCCAAATGTTTACTTATGATAAAAAACTAAAGTTTAACCAATAAAATCAAGTGTCTAAAAATCAAACCTTCTGTCAAACCTAATGTCTGACAAAACTTTCAAATGTTCTGCAGAACTTTTCTAATCTATTATCTAAGGAATTGGGGGGGGAAAATGCATTTTGCTGCTAAAAAGCATTAAGCAGTTAAGGCCTTAAGGGCAAGAAATAATAAAAACACTTACATATGATTCTATAGATAATCATATCAGTCTGTTAAAACCATCTGCCTAAAAATCAAACTCTTAAGAAAATACCATTCAAAAATAATTAGATTATTTTTTTCATTCTGCATATCATTTATATTATTCTTTATTTTGAATATAATTGTATAGGTCTGGCGCTACTAAAATTGCACTATTTTTGCCATGAGCAAAAACCGTTTCACAAGAAATAGTATTCCAAAATTGCTATATGTATAAATTTATACAGTATTTGAAGTGTTAATTCCAAAAATCATATCAAATTCTGAAAAACGAGAAGAAAAAAAATTACACTGTTGAAATGGTTAACTCTTGTATTCAAATTGAAAATTACCTTTTACATTTCATTCAGTACAAAATGCATCCAGAATCCTTTGCCATTCAAGAAGCTATATCCTGTAATTCAAGAAAAGGATGGTATGAACCCATTCGGAAACCCATTATCAAGAATGGTAAGTGGTAAAATCAATTTCATTTCAAAAATTTGAAGGAAATTTGAAAAAAAACCACTAAAATTAATTTCGGTGATCCCTCAAGTTTCATGATAAGAAGATACTGATTCTCCAAATAAAGAGACTTTCTTTGAAAGTTGAATTCACATAAAATCAATTATGTGCAAAAGGTCTGAATTAATGTCTTCATTCATCTCAAATTCCCCCTTAAGAAATGAAATAAGACTTGAATTGTTGAAATATTTATCATCAAATGTAAGTCAATAAAAAAGATTTGGTGCTTTTACTTCTCTTCTTTTTTTAATTTTCCTGAACTTTATTGAATAATACAAATGCATGGCTCTTTATAGGTCCAACCACAAAAATGTATATGCAATAAGCAAAATATGAAAGCAGAAATTGCTTGAATGGCAAAGGAGTCCTTTTATTAACTTAGTAATATGTATGTATAAGATATCTAATTATTTTTTGGATGCACAAGACAAAAACTTTAAATTGATATGTTTAGGTACCTACCCGTCTACTATCATTTTTTGTCTTCTGTATATCAGTAATACACCGTATGACAATATCAGGTAATAAGGCAATCACAATCAATATGATCATACACAACCATATTGGTCCACATGACACATGTACAAAAAATAAATGATAAAAGTCTTGATGGCTAATGATCAAATCTCTGAAAAAATAATAATAGTTTGAAACAATTTTTTTCCCAAAGTACATGGACATCAACATACCTATAATAGGAATGGGTTAAAGTAGATCTTTATCATGATATACATTATCATTCCCTGTACAGCAGTATAGGTTACAAGAGCGCAATTATTTGTTTACATTTTACCAGCAAGTTTTTTACCCCAAGATGGTACTCAGAATAGAATCATGTACAGCTTCTGATTGGATGATACAGAATTGGAATTACTTTTAATCGAAAGCTTATCCAATTAGGTTTTAAAAATCCAGAAAATCCAATTCACATTTTGCAAAGTATAGAAAATATCTTCCATTTCTGCACGTCGGCCCATTAAAAATATGCCTTTTTCATTAAGCGAAAAAAATAGACGATCTTTTTCAACGGCATTTTAAGTCAATTTTTGTCGCATGACCATATATATTTTTTTGGTTGTAATGCAACACTGGCATTTCTAGTAACAGGAACTGCTACCCGTTTTTCCCTAGTTTGTGTAGTCTTCGAGAAAATAAATATGGAACACCACTGGTACCCTATGGAAAATGCATTACGAATAATGAGGGGCCTGATGGGTTAATTTCGTTTTTCGTGATCGGCGCATTTTCGCTATCGTGATCCGTTTTTCTACAGATTTATTTTTTTTTATATTTTCGTGATCCGTGATCATGGAAATTTATTTTCTGTGAATCGTGATTGACAAAAAAATCAACTCGTGAATCGTGATGAGACCCCCCCCATCAGGCCCCTCAATAATTGCGCTCCTGTAACCTATAGGAAAATGACATTTTTTTTTAATAAGGCTTTGAAAAATGTTAAAAATAGTCATTTTGCTTGGAAAAAATGCGAAACGGCAATTAATGGGGTCAAATGGACTTTTCATCAACGTGCATTCAAGCTATAGTCTGTTTCCTATTTGTATAGATTTCCATATTTGAAACTAGGGTGGGCTCGAATGTCGGCACAGTATAAAGAGAATAGAACGTTTCTGTGATATCTACTGTTTTTATTGGGAAAAGCATGTATATATCTTGAATTTGGAGATACATTTTGGTTTTTAAACATAATGATCGTGACTCAGTTGCTATTCTAGCAAAAAGCAAATTTGGTGAAAATTGGCAAAAAGTGCCCCTAAGCAAACACCAACGATTTAGTTAAATTGCTAAGTAGAAAAATTAATCTTGGCATTAAATATTGTAGTTCAAGAATAGTTTTTCTTGCCAAAGTAGTAATATTATCATATATTCGAAATTTGTAAAAACTATAGTCTGTTTCAAAAACGTATTTTTTCAAGAAATGATTTCATTTAAAGCCATTCTTCAAAATTCTATGTAGCTTTTCCATATCAGAACGGTTTTGTCGGCAATATGATCAGTGCTGGATGACCTTTGAAAAATTAGGGCAGTAAATAAACATTATCTTCATGTCATTTTGAACAGTACCGTATTTGGTCCAAAAATCAGTTCAAATTTTTGGCCTGATCGACTGGCAATAAATAATTCTCCAAATTCAGAGAGTGATCAGATAATGTTTAGAAGATGTGATATGAGCTAGATAGACGCTAGCGCTTCATTTGGCCCGGGCGCTTAATTTTAGAATTTTTTTTGCATTACCGTATAGGTTACAAGAGCGCAATTATTTGTTTACATTTTACCGGCAAATTTTTTACCCCAAGATGGTACTCAGAATAGAATCCTGTAAGGCTTCTGATTGGATGATTCAGAATTGGAATTACTTTTAATCGAAAGCTTATCCAATTAGGTTTTAAAAATCCAGAAAATCCAATTCACATTTTGCAAAGTATAGAAAATATCTTCCATTTCTGCACGTCGGCCCATTAAAAATATGCCTTTTTCATTAAGCGAAAAAAATAGATGATCTTTTTCAACGGCATTTTAAGTCAATTTTTGCCGCATGACCATATATATTTTTTTGGTTGTAATGCAACACTGGCATTTCTAGTAACAGGAACTGCTTCCCGTTTTTCCCTAGTTTGTGTAGTCTTCGAGAAAAAAAATACCACTGGTACCCTATGGAAAATGCATTACGAATAATTGCGCTCTTGTAACCTATAAGAATGTTGTTTATTAGGATTGATATCTACCTTTTGTTTTAAGAAATTGTACAAGGATTGATTGATTGTCGAGTGGTACAATGATTAACACACTGAGACTTCAGTAATTATGTTGTTAACAAAGAAGCTTCCAAAATTTTAACATAACACATTTGTAATTTGAAAGAAATCATATTATTCAACATCAACATTTTTATGAAATGGATAATTTGATATGTGGTTTTAATATTCCCAAAATAACTACCTAGGAGTGTCAAAATACATAATACTTTATCTAGTGGGATTAGTTTACTTACGGCCATAACAAGCCAGTATAAAGAGATGTCATTGCAACGTTCCCCACAAAGGCAAAAATATAAGAGAAGAAAATTGGTGCACTCCAGTAATATGTTTCTAAACCAAGCTGAAAAGATAAAATGAAAAGTTGTCATTTATATTTCTAAAATATGAAATGTTCCATTTATGATTAGAGGTGTCTGTACAACATTTATTTCCCATTACACACTAGGTTTTTTATGTTCAAGTTAAACAATTCCATCACGTTATGTCAAAACTAAATGAAAGATAAATTTGATTCTTATATTTCATAAGCTCAATATTTGCAGTTTTCACATGAAATATGGAGATTCATAATATCAGTTGGGTGAATTTGAAAGCAGTTTCAAAGAAAAAAGAGATGTTGTTAATGGAAGCATACATAATCTACTGTCGGGCGACCTACATTTGCGCGGATTTGAAAATGACAAGCATTACATTTGCGCGGAGAAATGATATAACATTTGCGCGAATTTACCTGTAGTTTACCTGAGTTTTTTTTACCTGTAATTTGTTTTTCGATTATTGTTTTGAACATAAATTGCTGATCATACCACATCTTCTTATTTCATATATTGATAAACATATATTAGACAAGTCTTTATTTGTTTATTTGTTTATATAAACATTAAAAAGCACTACATTTATGTAAAAGAAAAATTTTAAATAAAATACAGTGAATATCATGGAAAAGAACATTCAAAGTATATAGTCATAAATAAAACGCAGTATAAATGCAGATGATATCTATACGGGAATCATCTATAGATTAGTCTTTGCCTGGTACTTGTATCCTAGCAAATTTGTTGCAATTTTCATTTACAGGAGCATTTGACATTATATAGTCTGCAAAACTGTCCTCAACTTCCTCCGCCGGAAAACAGTTCAAATTAATTTAATCTATTTATTTTTTTTATTTTATTAAGTAAATTTGTTCAAAATAATTTCAGTTTATTTTAAATATATTAAGGAAATTTTGTCTTTTTTTTTATAAAAAGTTATGGATTTATTTTTCATATGTTTTTGTTTAAATCCGTGCAAATGTAGTAACTTTTCAACAGGTTAATTTCGCACAAACATAATGCGTTTTGTCGTGCAAACGTGGATTTTTTTCGCACAAATGTAGAACGAATGCACGCAAACATAACGCCCCGCTACTGTCACACATAAAGCTCGATTTAAATAAACAAATGGTTACTTTTTGTCATAAAAAATATTCAATAAATGTCAGTGATTTGTATAATACTGTGTTATACAGGGGGAATGCTTACACAATGACGTGGCATTATTGGCAAAGGAAATACAGTCGAACCTTGTTGTGTCGAACTCGGTTGTGTCGAAAACTCGGATGAATCGAAGTAATTTACTGGTCCCAGTAAAATTCCTGTTTGATCAATGCATAATTACCTCTGATGAGTAGAACTCGGTTGATTCCCAATATTAAGTCGAGTAAATTTTATAGTCCCGTCGATGTAAAATTAATGTAAATTGACCCTGATGTCTCGAAGTTCAAAAGTAAGAGTTTTCGAAAGATGCAAACCTAATGATAAAAATTCAAATCGGATGTATTTTTTATGTAACCTAATCATTTTCAAAAGAGATTAAAGCTGAGTAAACATACTTGTTTTTATAACAGTTAAAATGACATGTTTATGATGACCGGTAATTAGGACCTTTGTTGATAGTTCAAGCGGAACTTTAGTGTGTTGAACATATTTCACCTGACATAGAAACAAAACGAATTTAAATGACACAAGCCGAGATTAAATGAATCGTTTCAATTAAAATTCATTAATTACAATAAATAAAAGGATTAAAAAAATTATGATAAATTCATAATAATTTAATGTAAAGCAGACGACCTCATCAGAGAACTTATTTCATTCTGCGAGTGATTTCATAATTTATAGTGACTGACCTTTGTAATTATTTGTGTTGACTATTGATTTTATTTGTGCATGATTTGTATCTGTACTTGTGTGTTTGATTATTATGAAGAATAAAAAAATATGGAGATTGAATACACAATCATTAAGTGTCATATCGAAAAAAGGCACATTGTTTTAAGTATCTAAATTACACAAATCTCATACTATATTTCATGCATTCCAAATTTTTATTACAACACACTCAACCTTGGATAATAGGAATACTTTGGTCTGGTCCCTTCGACTTTGACACAACTTTTCCCTTGAATCAGTTGGTCTTGGTGAGGCTATTTAAATTTTTGCAAGTTGAACTCTCCCAATGAATAAGTACAATAGCTATTGTTCTCTGGGGAGTTTATTCAATGGGACCTTTCAATTTCTCCTTAACCCTTTTCAAATAATGGTAATTTCACACAAATTGAAAGATTTTTCTTCTTCACTAGATGAACATATTCATTACCTTGATATTGACAGCTAATACACATGTTATATACACTACTGAACCAAGCATCCAGTTCCCCATCATCTGAAAATAGTAAAGTCATATATTCTCAAAGCAAATCAAACCACACAAATATGAACTATATATAGATGATAACACCAGCCCTTGGCTACACATAAAATCAAATAATATAGCCAGTTGTATGAATGACTAAAAAAGTGTTTATGGGACAAGCCCAGAATATCATTTAATTTTCAAATGTAAGTATTGATTTCCTTGTATACATAAGAAAAAATTCTGAGAGTTATTATCCCTGATCTTTTGTAAGTGCTTCAATAATTCATTCACTATATGTGCAATTTTTTTTAATTTTTTTTATATGTTTCCTTACATGGTTGGTCTTACAGTGTGCTTACATATATGACAGTAATAAATTTGCAATTTATTTTTGTTTATGTAACCAATTAACATGCATATATATTCATTGAATTGTTCCCAATGATAAAGTTCATGTATATTTCTCAGACATTCTTGATCTTATTTTGGCAAATACTGTCAATGTTGAAGACTGCACAATAACCTCCAGGACCTGGTTCTTCATCTTCTAGTTAAATATAACTCGTAGTTTAATATAACCCAGTGTTAAATTATTTAACCAATGGTAACATTACCTAGGGTTAAAATTCTGTTGCTGGACTCCTTTTTAACCCTCTGTTACGTAAGTTAGTCTTGGATATATTTTCAGTGAATATTAATTTTTATCAAAAAAAAGTATTATCAACACTTTTCTCGAGTCCTTGAAGAACTGTTTAATCAATAAATATGATTAATTATTGAAACTTGTAAAAATGTTCATTAAATAGTATTGTATAAGAACAATGTGGACGTGATAAATCTGGAAAAATGCTTGAAGTTACAAAGACTAAAAAGCAAAAACTTTGGCAATATTAACTCTTTGATGAAAAATTAAAACAATAACAATAGATAATAATGCTCAAGACTTTGATATTCAATATGTTTTTTATTTACATTCATTTGCATTGTCCTACCTTTCCATTTTTATAAAATGTGATGTCACCATTAAACATCAGAAACACACCAAAGAAAAACACAACAGCATGCCATAAACCTGAAAGATCATAAAAAATGTAGATTTTAATTAATTTAAGTATTATCCAGTAAATTCAGTTGTAAAGATGTCTTATTTTAATTCAAATTCAAGGTTCCTTTTTGTCACAAAAACTTACAAATTGTCTCTTTCCATATTTCCCCCTCTCACTTCTAACTCAAGAAAAATACTGCATATTTAGTAATAGTATAAAAAAACAGCTTTCCAATGTCCACCGTGTTGCACATATTTTATCTACCCCGGACAATAACTAAATTTTTTTTCAATTTTTAATATATAATAACTTAATAATTTACTTAATTTCAAATAAATACCTTACAAGAAATATATGCATGAAATCGGTAATAATTTCCATATATTTCTATTTTCAAGAGGCATAAATCCTGTAAAAATAGTTTGTTGGCACGCTTCCAAGACATTGATGATATCAGTGTTTGATATAAACTTCATAAAAATTTGACAAGAAAAGTAGGTGCAAGGGTGCTATAGGCAATGTTCAATATAAATTACATTTCAAAAGGACATAACTCCTGTGAAAATAATATATCAGAGCTGATTTTCAAACTCACCCAAGTCATTGCAGATGTAAACCTATTATATAAATTTCATAACAATTGTACAAAAAATATTGGCATGAGAGCGCTTACAATGCAATATTCCATAAAATTCATGTTTCCAAGGGCATAACTCCTTCAAAGATACTAATATCCAAATGTCTTTAATATCATATGGAGGCCATGAATGTTTATTCTTGATATTAATTCTCTAATGGGTACCACATCATTTTTTCTCTTGACACCAGTTTTTTAATTATAATTGTTATGCTGTCCACCTGATTCATTTGCCTTATTCATACCTCCCTTATTTACTCTCCTTTCATTTAACATATATTTTGATGTGTCTCATGGTTATAAAAACATTTGTACTATTTCTGTATTTTGCAGTGAGACTGGTGTGATATTCATGACAGTAATTGTTCAATATCTTTGCCCAATATTGTTTATAATTTGTTGATGTTACCCGCAGTAACACCTTCCGGTGTTAAGGGAATGCGATTCATTTTTGATTCCACATTGGGTTTTTTTTACGAAAATTTGCATGAAAGCTTTTTTTTACCTGGTCAATTCAAATATGTCATAAACTTATATACATTCATGCATACTTATAGAGATAAACGGGGTCAAAATTATAGATATTTTTTACTCATAAATTAGTTTTTTTACCATCCAGTAGATGGTAACTAAAATCCTACTTAATATTCTGACAATGAGGTAAGTTAGTGTTATTTATTTATTGAAAGTGCATGTATTTAAAGGTATGGTTCAAGAACATTAAATTTTCTTATACTGCCTTGTTAGGACTGATTTTCATGGAATTTTAAAAAACACAAGAGTGTACATGCTGAAATATCTCACCTGGTTTAATAATGATTTTATTTAAGTTGAAAATCTGTTATTTGAAGGTTTTTCTACAATTATCACATAAACTTAACATTATCAATGTTGTATGAAAATGAAGTCACGGTCAGATGAACCATGCAAAGACAGACATGTTCACCTTGCAATCATTCCAAACACCAAGTACAGTTGACCTATTGCTTATAGTACCTGAGAAACAGATCAAAACAGAAAATCTTAACATTGACCAGTGAACCATGAAAATTAGGTCAAGGTGATATAAACGATGCCAGACAGACATGTCCACCTTATAATTGTTCTATACACCAAATACAGTTGACCTATTACTTAAAGTATCTGATAAACTGACAAAACCATGAAACTTATCATTGAACACAGAACCATGAAAATGAGGTCAAGATCATCAATCATGCCAGACAGACATGTCCACCTTACAATCTTTCCATACACCAAATATAATTGACCTATTGCTTACAGTATCTAAGAAATAGATCAAACCACAAAAACTAAACATTGTCCAATGAACCATGGAAATGAGGTCAAAGTCATATGAAATCTGCCAGACAGACATGTACATCTTAAAATCATTCCATACACCAAATATAATTGACCTATTGCTTACAGTATCTGAGAAATAAATCAAACCACAAAAAACTAAATGCTGTTCAATGAACCATGACAATGAGGTCATGGTCAGATGAAACCTTCCCGACAGATATGTACACCTTGATATCATTCCATACACCAAATATAATTGACCTATTGCTTATAGTATCTGAGAAATAGATCAAACCACAAAAACTAAACATTGTCCACTGAACCATGAAAATGAGGTCACGGTTATATGAAACCTGTCAGTACAACATGTACACCTTATAATCATTCCATACACCAATTATATTTGACCTTTTGCTTATAATGTAGTATCTGAGATACGGACTTGATCACATAACTTTAACCTTGATCACTGATCAATGAAATGAGGTCAGGGTCAGGTGAACCCTACCTGACCTACATGTAGTCGTTGCAAGGAACCCTTATATACCAAATATAGTTATCCTATTACTCATAATAAGTAAATATTTCTCTTAACAAAAATAATGTTTTTTTTTTTTAAAACAGTCACTGAACCATGAAAATGAGGTCAAGAGCAATGTACATATGAAAGACACAAACTTTGTAACATAAGGTATCTGCATACAAGGTATGAAGTATCCAGGTCTTCTACCTTTTGAAATATAAAGGTTTATACAAATAGTTTACACCATCTTCGCTGCGACACAGGTGAGACAAAAACAAAGAATCTTGCATAGTAAACATGTCAACATCAACTTTAAAATGCAACTTTATTGCATAATATTTTTTTTATATCTCATCCAGATTTTGATGAATGAAATGACTAATTTAACATTACATGAATGATCTTCTTACCTAAGGCATTCCACTGTATGAAATATTTTTTACTTAATTTGCGATTTCTGGTTATTTTTCTGAAAGATAAAAGGTTCATGCATTTCTAATACCTAAGTACAACAACAAGAAAATAACTGAATTGACTGTTGATAAACTGAAAATGTAATTTTTTCTCTTTAAAATTCAGTATCACTAAATATAAAGCATGAACTAGATACATTTTCTCATCAGAATACTAGTATTAATGCGTTGGACATTTGTGTAAAAAATAAAATAGGATGAGACTTTTCTTCCTTAAATTTCTTTAAATTTAAAAAAAAAATATTTTTAATCTTTATGATAAATTTCGTAAGATTGCTGATGAGCAACTGACACAGACATTGTAATTAACTGTTATCCTGATGTAAATTTACACTTTTCATATAATATAATTTAGAAGTATTAAGAGCCTTAAAATTGTTTATTACATTAACAAAAATCTATTTTTAAGCAGATTTTTTACAGAAATTTACCTGTATTGATTACAATGCATTTCAGCTTAGACCTGTTCCAGAATAAAATGCATTGAGGGGATGGAAGGCACTCAAATTAATAATTTGTGGGTGCTTGCATTTTCTTTAGAACTTTGTGAACATTATGAGTAAAATGAAAAATTTATATCATGGATGGTTGAAGTCTTAAAAAAATGCCTTCAATCCCCAATGCATTTAAATCTGAAACAGCCCTTACACGAAGAAGCTACACATGAAAATTGTATCTTAAGACTGAATTAACATTTAGGGCACATTTACAACAGATACAACACCACAAAGGGTTCACAAAAAAGTTGGACAGAACACAACTGCACACAAACACAAACATAGAAAGAGAATTCTAGTAAAATCTAACATACTTGTAAAGCTGTGGTTGTTCTAATAATGTTGACTGTTTGGTATGCTGCTCAAACAAACTATACAGAAATATTGGTAATGATGTGAATGTTATGTTGTAAAACATCAGGTAGAATGAATCAAATAAGGACTGAAAAACAAAAGATTTTTAGGATAATATTTTCTTTCAAATACATATTACATTAATTATACTGTTACTCAATTTCTGTTATATCATTTACAGTATATAAATTTTCAAGAAATATGTGATGAATTTTTCAGTTATTTCAATGTTCTTTGTAATATATCAAACACTTGGTACTCATATCTTTATCTGTTTCCAAAGGTCTATAGAGTACTAAAGTATATAAACGTTCTGTAATGTAAAGAATAAACTGCCTGGTCCAGTGGTAAATGTTTCAAGCATATTCAGAATTAGAATTTTAACAATAACCAATATGCGGTAAAATGTATTAAATAAACTGCTTCGCTGAGCGCAGCTGGATACGCCCGCAGAGGTCCAACCCTGAACAGTTGGGGCAAAAATGGACACAATATTCAAGCTTGATACAGGTCTGAATTTGGATTGTATTAAATATTTGACATATTATAGGTTTCTGAATAAATGTAGTCAAAGAACTTGAAATTGGTTATATGAATTGAATTTATATTCAATTAAAGATTTCTTGCTGTTGTGCAATACACTGTGCTGTTGCGCAATACTTAGTAAATCTGTTGTCAGACTATAAACAATTAAAGTTCAATTAATTCTCAATGTCATATTAGAAATTTATGAAAATAAAAAGGGAGCTTACATCAATAGATATAAACAATTCACCAAAGTTTCATGAGAATTGCTGACAGCATTTTTGAGTTATTGTCCGAAAACTGGAAAATCCCCCCTTTTTTAATGAATAAAACCCCATAACTCAGAAATGTAAAATGTAAAATTTATAAAATTCTAAACGGAGCTTACATCAATAGATATAAACAATTCACCAAAGTTTCAAAAGAACTGCTAAAAGCATTTTTGATTTTTTATCCAAAAACTGGAAAATCCCCCTTTTTTATGAAAAAAACCCTGTAACTCGGAAACGTAAAATCTAAAATATATTTAAATCAAAAGGGAGCTCATGTCAATAGATATAAACAATTCACCACTATTTCTTGCAAGTTGGTGAAAGCATTCTTGAGTTATTGTCCGAAAACTGGAAAATCCCACTTTTTTTAATGAATAAAACCCCATAACTCGGAAACGTAAAATCTAAAATTTATAAAAAACGAAAGGGAGCTCACGTCAATAGATATAAACAATTCACCAAAGTTTTATGCAAATTGGTTAAAGCGTTTTTGAGATAATGTCCGACATGTTGACGACGGACGGACAGACGGACGGACGGACAGACGGACGGACAGACAGACGGACGGACAGACGGACGGACGGACAGACAGACAGACGGACAATGGTATACCATAATACGTCCCGTAAACGGGCGTATAAAAACATCTCATCACACCTTAGTACCTCCAAGCAGTTTTTACACTTTCAATCATTCTTTCATGCTGGATTTACGGCAACCTTTCAGCAAAAGATTTTGTTTTATATTTTCTTTTTTTTTCAAACAAAAATATGGTGAAGTTTGTAGATAAAGGTGATTTTTTTTTAATTTGTCAAAAACAATATACTCACCTGTTGTGAAAATGCAGAGAAAAACATGTAAAAAAGCTGAGAAGTGATAAAAGCAACATTCTGAAAAAAAAAGGAAATAAAACACATGAATCAAATCATCTTATAAAACTTACTTTAAATTATTCAGTATTGGTTAAAAAGAATACAAAATTGTCACAAATATACAAGCTTGCATTTTTGTAAAATAACATTAGCATAACTTTTGCTGTTCCAGTTCCTGTATCATACAAATATAATATACATTTACAAGCTGACTTGTAAAAAAAATTATTTAAAAGCTTTTTCTCACTGGATTTATTTTTTCTAATTCTGAATCAACTGGCAGCCTATAGACCCAGAGGCCTTTAATTGTAAAAATATATGAAAATGAACTATTGCACTGATAATTCATGCTGAGTTTCATGCAATATCATGATTGGTAATTTTGATACATGTACTAGTAATCTCTCTTTTCTTTCTATGAAGTCAGTTTAAAACTTGGAATCAACAAGGCCTTTCAATATAATCAAAGTGCTTGTTAGCACTGAAAGGGTAAAGATTACTTTCATATTGCAATTTTGTGATTTTGAAAACAAAACATTGAATTGTACTTAGCTAGGCAAATTCTAAATTTGAGTTGGAGTTATCTTCCTTTGTTTATGATTGTACATCATAGTTGAGCCTGTTTTTATGACAGCTTCATACACCATGCACTACTTATGTAATTTTCAATAAAGAAAAGATTGCTTGACAAGTACGGTAATTTAAATACATATTATATTGTAACTTGAATATCTAATTAAATCATATCATTAATAAATTGCTTGACATTGACTGGATAGGATCTAAAGAATGATCACTTCACTGCTCTATTTTGTTTGCACCATCAAAGGTAGTGATAAACCTTTGAAGATTTAAATATCAAGTCAGTACCTTAGGGTTTTGATTGCATTTCATACAATCTTTACCCAAAAATAAGGAGATGTGGTATGACTGCCAATGAGACAACTATCCACCAGAGTTCAAATGAGTGGATGCAAGGATGTAAGCAATTACAGGACACTGTACTGCCTTCAACAATGAGAAAAACCCATACCATATAGTCGGCTATAAAAACCCTTGACATAAAAAATGTGAAACAATTCAAACAAGAAAACAGCCTAATTTATAACAAAACAGTTTAGGACAAACAAAATCGACAGACAGGAACCAACTACGACTACTGAACTACAGGATTCATACTTGGGACAGGCACATAAAGAATGTGGGTGGGTGGGTGTGGGGGTGGGGGGTAAATATGTTGGTGCACTTAACCCTCCTCTAATAAATTTCTAAATTTTAATACCAAAAAAATCATATCTAGTTTAAAGCCAATAAAAGAAAATTACATATACTTAGATGGCAATACCTTGCATGGCCTTTTATACTAAGACGGAATTTAGATTATATATAACATATAAAAGAAATATTGAACAAGAGTAGATATGTAGGACTCTGAACCGCGATGGTACCTTGAACCGCGATGGTACCTCTAACCGCGATGGTCATGCTGAAATGCGATGGTTTTACACTGAAGTGCGTTTTTGATCATGCTGAAGTGTGATGGTGGCATTGTGACGCTATCTTGTTGATAGCTACACCTAAGTGCAATGGTGGTAACACTGAAGTGCGAAGGACTACATAATCTATATTTTCTATACTTTTCGTGTTCACATGCCGATGTTTGTCAGAAGTAGCCTTTTTTTTTTAATAAAACATAAAAGGTATAACCTGATTAATTTAAAACAGGCATGGCAAATAGTCATTGCATTTCCAGTTCTAACTGATACAATCGTTCAGAAATTGACCACTATAGAAGCTACATACAAAGGTTATTTTCCTTTAAAATCTGTACTAATTGCAATGACTGAAAAACGTTAGAGTTGTTTGAAATGTAAATACTACTTGATTAGTCAGAACGAAACAAAATAAGCGAAACATCTATAGGGCTGCTGTGAATGAGAACAAGAAATGAGATAGATCACCTGGTAGATGGTTTTTACTGCAACTGGAGAAAATATTGAATGTTTGGTATTTATTTATTTATGCTAACTAATAAAAAATCTTAACTCTCATAATATTTGGACATCTGTAGATTTTAAACTAGTAATCACGCTTCTTATAGACCATGGCACATCAGCGAAAGAACCATCGCACTTCAACAGACCATCGCACTTCAGCGTGACCATCGCACTTCAGCGTCCCAATCGCACCTCCGAGTCCTACAGATATTCTGATGTAAAAGAAATTACCGTAATAGAACATACCATATAAAAGAAATAGTTAACTAGAGTAGATATTCTGATATAAAAGAAATGACTGTAATAGAACATACCTTATAAAAGAAATAGTTGACTAGAGTAGATATTCTGATGTAAAAGAAATGACCATGTAACAATAACATTCTATTTAGGAATTTAAACTTAGAGAATGCATAGTCACTGTTCCTCACTGCTTGTCTTCCTTCTTTTCCCATTATTCCTAGAAAATAAATTCATTTCAAATTTTACAGTTTTATGATAATAGTAAGTATAAAATCTAATTGTGTTACATTTTTATGCGGTGTTTATATATAAGCAGTGCAATTCCTATTTTGCAATGAATAACTTTCATCCTTTTAACTCCTGTTTCATTCAAAATTGTAAAAAAAACATTTCAATAATCATTTTGAACAATTCAATTTTGCTACACAGGATATTATAAAACTACTTTTTTCTAGTAAAGATTTTTGTCATATAATTCAGACAATGTAAATGACATTATTTAATTCAAGTTTGATTTGTTAAAAATTCTTTCTGATAATTTGACAAAAAAAAAACAGTAAAATACACACCTAAGCCAACATGGGCCTCTTGTATCATACTGACATCATTAGCTCCATCCCCTATGGCAGCTGTTACTGGAGCATCCTTACCATTCTTTATCAGTTTTACAACCTGTAATATATAGTTTCATGATAACAATTTATACTAAATATCTTTTTTATAAATACTTCAACTTAAGATTTGCTCATATGTCAACAAAATTGTAATACCATAGAGTGGGTGGCACATATTTGCTATGGACACATTTTTGCTGTTTTGCAATTTTCTAGTGATGCATATCAAGATGGGTAGTATTCTTTTACTTGAACAATGTCCATATTAACGATTCATATGCATTTTATGTACAAATAAATGTGGATAAGTGTCCACATGTGGACACAGATGATGCCCCCGCTTGCATATCATATAGTTATAAAGGGACATAACTGAAGAACGGTAAAAGTGACGCTACCCAAATTTCAACTTGATCTGAGTTTTGTGGTAATAAGCATTGTGTGTAAGTCTCATAACATTTGGTTGAGGCTAACTTAAGTAGAGAACAGAAACTAAAAATTCAGCAATATTTCTACATGTATTTGTAAACACGTATAACTCTAGAACGGTTGTGTATAAGTTTTATAACATTTGGTTGAGACAAACTAAAGTTAGAGAAAGGAAACGAAAAATTCAGCAATTTTTATGTTGATAAAGGGACATAACTCAAGAATGGTAAAAGTGTCGCCACCAAATTTCGTACTTAATCTGTATAATGTAGTAATAAGCATTGTGTATAAGTTTCATAACATTTGGTTGAGGCAAACTAAAGTTAGAAAACGGAAACAAAAAATTTGTACTTGATCTTAGTTTTGTTGTAATGAATATTGTGTATAGGTTTCATAATGTTTGGTTGGGGCAAACTTAAGTTACAGAATGGAAACTAAAAATTTTGCAATCTTTTGATTTATAAAGGGGCATAACTCAATAATGGTTAAAGTGACACTACCCAAATTCAACTTGATCTGTGTTTTATCAGTGGAAGTAAAATTAAACATTGCATTGTATAAAGCATTGATTGTAGTTGATTCAACTATAATCATGGACAAAGGAAGATAACTCCAATTTTAAAAATTACTTGATATTTAGAAGAAAATAAAAATTTTGCAATTTTTCCATTTATAAAGGGGCATAACTCTAGAACGGTTAAAGTGACGCCACCAAAATTCAAAGTTGATCTGTGTTTTGTGATAATAAGCATTGTGTATAAGTTTCATAACATTTGGTTGAGGCAAACTTAAGTAAGAGAACGGAAACTAAAAATTTTGCAATTTTTCCATTTATAAAGGGGCATAACTCTAGAACGGTTAAAGTGACGCCACCAAAATTCAAAGTTGATCTGTGTTTTGTGGTAATAAGCATTGTGTATAAGTTTCATAACATTTGGTTGAGGCAAACTCAAGTTAGAGAACAGAAACCAATTTTGGGATGTATGGACGGACGTACATACGTACGTACAGACGGACAAGGGTTAAACTTAATGCCCCCACCGCTACGGCGGGGGCATAAAAATAAATGTATCAAGGCTAAAAACAATGACCTCTGCATGTAATTATTAATCCCTTCCCCTTATCTGGAAGAAAAATTACAGTATTTCTTCCTGATGGAATAAAGGTTATAGAATATTTGTTCTAACAGAAACAGATAATATAGCATTGTTTATTACAAAGTTTCCAGAAGAACTTTTATTAGGAGGAAGGAAAATACGTTGAAACACATGACAGGTGCGTTTGATCAATCAATCAATCTAAGTGTTTGTAAAATTTAAAGTACCTATCATTCTTTAAAGAAGATTTTCTACCTATCAAATGGGGATTGCTTTCTGTTAAGAAAACTGATAAAAGTGCTCACTACGGTGATACATGATGGATGGCTTAGTAACATGCCATACATACATTTTAAGGTCAAGTTACAGTAAATGAGCGCCATCTAGCGGATTCCGCGAAATGGCGCGACGTTTTGTACGAGTTACGTCCCATTGACTAGATTTAGCAATGTTGCAACCGGCGACTTTCCGACGAGACAACGTTAAATTTGATGAAAAGTATGTTACTTCTAGGAGAATGAACTTGTATGCTAAAATTGAAGATGAAGAAATGCTACATAGTTTTGAAAATTAATATGAAAATAGTCACGAAGACTTCAAAATGAAAATAGAGAACTTGACTTGCGTCAGGGAGGTAGGGTGGTAACGTTAGAGCTTGGATATCTCGCCGACCAGTTAAAACAGTGTAAAAACTTCTAGCTCACCACTATTTCTACATAATTGTGATGAGGAAAACCAGTGTGGTCTCGGAAGTATTCTATATGTAGTATGTTAAAAACGTCACTACAGAAACCCTATATTCACTGGGAAAAGACATCGTCCCGCAGAAAATAAGAAGAAGGGGATGCAAGTTGGGACATTAATACTAAACTTTTAGTCTTGGTAAGATATCCCCTATTTTGAAAATTACCACACCAGTCGGAACAAGTAAAAATATTTCCTAATTCAAGAAAAGGGAATGAACCACATAAAATTCTCAGCTGCGTCAGTCAGTCTTGAAACAGATGACACAAAACGATTTTAAATTAACATTAACCTTCTTCACGATTGCAACAATCATTTAATATTTATACATCACAATCTTTAAGACTATAACACATAAATGATAAACAAAAAGTTATAGAGATTCATCGCTACAGTTTGTTTTCTAACGATTTTTTGTAATGGTGTTTTCTTTCACGTCCGCAATTTTGTGGAAAGTTTCGAAGCTAAAAATAGAACACAAATCCTTAAATAGATACATGTATAAATAGTATATGGTTTGAAGAGTTATACATGGTATATTTTCCTAATAAAAGAACATCCAAACGGATCCTAAACGCATTTTCTTAGTATTGATTAGTATTGTTATTTCCTCAAGGTAATTGATATATCAATGGTTAAAAAAATAACTGGAAACAAATAAAAATTTGTAGCCAGAAAGTTGCATCTCAAATATAGAATAGAACTGTTCTCAATTCTATTTCACTCATACAACTTGAAGATTAAGAACGAGCTTCTGTCGATCATGTCCATATCATACTACTAATATATACATGTGTGTGTATCTACTAAAAAAATATGCACACACACTTTCAGTACCCAAAGTAAAATGAAAATCCCGTAATAAGTCAGTACTTCAGTAAGACAGCAACCAGGCAACAACACCAGGCCACAAAAATGGAATAGGAAAAGACATCTGATGTTGCGCATTTGTGCAGATGGAATTTAACAAGTTAATTTAAAAGACAAAATTTTCAGTCATGTTTCAGTCTGTGATTGCTTTTTTTTTTTTTTTTTTTAGGGTTGATACGCTTTTCAAGAGCTTCATTAATATAAATTGTTTTGTAAAAAATAAGGCCGTTAGTTTTCTTGTTTGAATTTATTCACATTTTCAAAATCGGGGCTTTTTATAGCCGACTAAACGACATAGGTTTTTTTTGTCTTTTTTAAGTCCGTACGATAGTCTGTAATTGCTTATATCCACCTCATGTGAACTTTGGTGGATAGTTGTTTCATTTGCAATCAGACCACACCACCTTGTTTTTATATTTATTGGTGTCAAATACAGTTGCTCTCTGATGCACATTAATATTATTGTCACATATAATAAGATTTAAAAGGGGTTTGCAGAATAAAAGATAATGGCGAATATAGAAATTGAATAGAGAAAAAAGAGCCAAAAAAAAAAAGAAAAAAAAGATAGAGAATAATGGTTCGCAAAAGTATAAAGAATAACAATGGAAAATAAAATAATAAGTTAATACAAGTATAGTAGTTAAAGACATGAACCATGTACAGAATAAAGCAATCATGTAATATAAGAAGAATTTTACAATAAAATCATTTATTGAGGATTTTACAGAATAAGCGTGTAATTAAAAATTCAAGAAATTTGCCATTAAAATTAAAGAATACAGAAGTTAATTACACACTTCATATAGACCCTTAAATTAATTGTTGTATTATCTCGGTGTTGTTGGTAATAAACAAAAAAATCCGGCACTAGTCAAATTATGCTGAGGGTGTTGTATTTGATGCAATATATTCTTATCTTCCCGTTCCTAATGTATCTTCCATTTTTATTGAAGTTTACATTGATCAAAGCCTTAGTTTAATATAGTTTCATGTTATTACTATATTTGTTGACTCGCTATCTTTGCTGAAAACTGTGCTACCAGAGAGGAAACAAACGGGTAAAGGTAATAACCAGGAGTGTCTAGTATTTGACATTCTTGGTGTCAAATACGACGCACATAATGCCGTTGGAGATGTTCAAGCATTACAACAACTAGTAGAACATGTGTCGCTTCCCACTGAGAAAGTTGCACCACACTCATTCTCAGTGGAATATGTTTCACAGTCTTATGAACGTGAGGGGTCTGATGGTGTTGTCATTCTCCTATCGGAACTTTTTTTTTTGGAAAAGCCAGAGTCACAAAAGATAAAATAATTATATTACATCTTTTTTTGAGTCAAGACATTGGGATGATTTCTATTTTTATGTTATTTCTATTTTTGCGTTCATGTACTTACAAAGTATTTTCGTCTGAATTAGTAATTGTTTTAAACATGTTTATTGATAATGAACATATCATATTTTTTACAACTGTTATAATTTAATTTGAAATACCTGTCCATAAAAGAGGGTCTGACTGGGGTTTACGGAATACAGTTTAAAAGGCAAAAACTGCAGACTAAAAGGCAAAAAAGAAAAAAAGAGAACAGAGAATGATGAGGTGCTAAAATATAAAGAATAAAGAATACAATACTGGTAATACAAAATAAAAATTAATAAATGAAGGACCCTCTATCCAGACCCTTATGATAAAAAGAACCTATCAATACAAAACACATAATCATCATGCGTAATCAACACCAAGAACGTTGGAAGTTCATACCATGATAGCTTGACGTTATGTAATAAAAATGAAGACGTCACAATTTTTGATGTTTTTTCCCCAAAATGTTGAGGTTGCGTCGTTTCTAGAGGGAAAACGAGGTCGGTGACCATATTTTTTTTTCACATCATCTTATTTGTTAGACAAAGAGGAAGAAATCATCATTTTTAAAAAAAATTCTATGGAGTGAATCTCGTGATTTATACAGGAAACTGAAAAGTGTAGAAGAAAAATAAGGATCTTCCCTATATATTCAATGTAATTTAGTACCCTCTCGGACCATTTTGAAAATGGCTTTTTCTCGAAAACGAAGTCGGTGACTTTTTTTTTAATTTTCTGATGTATATTTTCAAAATCTAATTGAATTCTAAATTTTAAACAAATCTATGGACTGGTCATTTACTGATCCTTGACCTTAAGTAATGAACACATCCTACAAGACAAGAAAGAAACATCCCCATGGCGGTACAGATCATGGAGTGAAGTGGTGATAACAGATAATGAGAGCTGTAACATGTCAATATAGAGATATAATATGAATGTCTACTGAATACCTAACTCAGCTTTCTGTAATGGAGAGACATTCTACAACACAAGATAACTACATCCTCATGGCGGTACAGATGGTACTTACAGATAATGAGAGCTGTAACATCTCTTTATGGAGATATAATATGAAATGTCTACCTGATACCTAACTCAGCTTTCTGTAATGGAGACATTCTACAACACAAGATAACTACATCCCCATGGTGGTACAGATGGTGCTTACAGATAATTAGAGCTGTAACATGTCTTTATGGAGATATAATATGAAATGTCTACCTACCTCAGCTTTCTGTAATGGATACATTCTACAACACAAGATAACTACATCCCCATGGCGGTACAGATGGTGCTTACAGATAATTAGAGCTGTAACATGTCTTTATGGAGATATAATATGAAATGTCTACCTACCTCAGCTTTCTGTAATGGATACATTCTACAACACAAGATAACTACATCCCCATGTCGGTACAGATGGTGCTTACAGATAATGAGAGCTGTAACATCTCTTTATGGAGATATAATATGAAATGTCTACCTACCTCAGCTTTCTGTAATATAGACATTCTACAACACAAGATAACTACATCCCCACGGCGGTACAGGTGGTGCTTACAGATAATGAAAGCTGTAACATCTCTTTATGGAAATATAATATGAAATGTCTACCTACCTCAGCTTTCTGTAATGGAGACATTCTACAATACAAGATAGCTACATCCCCATGGCTGTACAGATGGTGCTTACAGAAAATGAGAGCTGTAACATGTCTTTATGAAGATATAATATGAAATGTCTACCTACCTCAGCTTTCTGTAATGGAGACATTCTACAACACAAGATAACTACATCCCCACGGCGGTACAGATGGTGCTTACAGATAATGAGAGCTGTAACATCTCTTTATGGAAATATAATATGAAATGTCCACCTACCTCAGCTTACTGTAATGGAGACATTCTACAACACAAGATAACTACATCCCCACGGCGGTACAGATGGTGCTTACAGATAATGAGAGCTGTAACATCTCTTTATGGAGATATAATATGAAATGTCTACCTGATACCTAACTCAGCTTTCTGTAATGGAGACATTCTACAACACAAGATAACTACATCCCCATGGTGGTACAGATGGTGCTTACAGATAATGAGAGCTGTAACATGTCTTTATGGAGATATAAAATGAAATGTCTACCTGATACCTAACTCAGCTTTCTGTTATGGAGACATTCTACAACACAAGATAACTACATCCCCATGGCGGTACAGATGGTGCTTACAGATGAGATCTGTTACATCTCTTTATGGAGATATAATATGAAATGTCTACCTGATACCTCACTCAGCTTTCTGTAATGGAGACATTCTACAACACAAGATAACTACATCCCCACGGCGGTACAGATGGTACTTACAGATAATGAGAGCTGTAACATGTCTTTATGGAGATATAATATGAAATGTCTACCTACCTCAGCTTTCTGTAATGGAGACATTCTACAACACAAGATAACTACATCCCCATGGCGGTACAGATGGTGCTTACAGATAATGAGAGCTGTAACATGTCTTTATGGAGATATAATATGAAATGTCTACCTACCTCAGCTTTCTGTTATGGATACATTCTACAACACAAGATAACTACATCCCCATGTCGGTACAGATGGTGCTTACAGATAATGAGAGCTGTAACATCTCTTTATTGAGATATAAAATGAAATGTCTACCTACCTCAGCTTTCTGTAATGGAGACATTCTACAACACAACACAGCTACACATAAATGACAAAGATCTCTTAGTATATCACCATGGTCATATAGAGCATGTGTTAAAGTGGTGCCATCTATGATCAGTGCATTATGTTTTCCTTGAGAAAAATTGTTCTCTGCACTGAAAAGTAAAATAATATTTCCTGGTGTTTCCTTAAGGTAGCACAATACAAAGATTTTTTTACTTCCAATCTCCAACCTTTAAAATGATGTTACTTTCTTATGACTGCATACAAATTAATAAAAGAGGTATATATAGATAGATAAAAGATTAATCTTTTAAATGAATGCAATATGTTTGATTAAACATTTGACACAGCATAGGTTTCTGACACAGAATGAATGTGGTCTAAGAACTTAAAATTTTTTAATTTACCTATTATGGTCCAATATCCAAAATCTAAATACATACACGGTTAGATTCAGCATATCAAAGAACCCCAAGAATTCAATTTTTGTTAAAATCAAACTAACTTTAATTTTGGACCCTTTGGACCTTAATGTAGACCAATTTGAAGACGGGACCAAAAATTAAGAATCTAAATACACGGTTAGATTCAGCATATGAAGAACCCCAATATTTAAATTTTTGATGAAATCAAACCATATCATTATTATTTGCTTTTGTATATAAATAAAAAATAACCAACTTAAAATTTTAAAGGAAAAAAAAAAGGAAAAAAAGAAAAAAAAATCTCCCCCCCCCCCAATTTTTTGAACCCCTTATGATTCATCACCCCCAAACTCAATCCCAGCCTTCCCTTTGAGGTATGGTACCTTGCAGTACAATTTCAGAGAGATCCATACACTTACACACAAGTTATTGTCTGGAAACTAGAAACATGCTTATTTGTGGCCCCTTTTTGGCCCCAAATTCCTAAACATTTAGGGCAATTACCCCCAAACTCAAACCCAGCTTTCCCTTTGTGATATGGAACCTTGTAGTACATTTTCATAAAGATCCATACATTTACACACAAGTTATTGTCCTGAAACTAGAAAAATGATTGTTTTTTGCCCATTTTTGGCCCCTAATTCCTAAAATTTTAAGGCAATTACCCCCAAAATCAATCCCAGCCTTCCTTTTGTGGTATGGTACCTTGCACACCAATTTCAGAGAGATCCATACACTTGAACACAAGTTATTGTCTGGAAACTAGAAAAAAGCTTATTTTTGGCCCCTTATTCCTAAACGTTTTGGGCAATTATCCCCAAACTCAATTCCAGCTTTCCCTTTGTGATATGGAACCTTGTAGTACAATTTCAGAAAGATCCATGCACTTACACACAAGTTATTGTCATGAAACTAGAAAAATGCTTGTTTTTTGCCCCTAATTCCTAAAATTTTGAGGCAATTACCCCCAAAATCAATCCCAGCATTCCCTTTGTGATATGGAACCTTGTGGTACAATGTTAGAGAGATCCATACACTAACACACAAGTTATGTCTGGAAGTTACAAAAATGCTTATTTTTGGCCCCTTTTTGGCCCCATATTCCTTAACTGTTGGTACCATAACCCCCAAAATCAATCCCAACCTTTCTTTTGTGGTATTGAACCTTCTTGTAAAATTTCATAGAGATCCATTTACTTAAACTAAAGTTATTGTGCGGAAACCAAATGTGTCTTCGGACTATGACGACGACGCAGACAACAAGAATATGTGTCCATTGGACACTATGATCTGCTCTGGGTCAAGAACTTCATTTGGAATATATCTAAGAAAGTTCAAATCATAATGAACATGTGTCTTAAGTTTCAAATTGAATTTACCACTAATTTGTGATAAACTTCTTTAACTTAAGATTTTACTGATTTCTCCTTTCACATAAACATGTTCAGTAAACCACAATATTTTAGTCAAAATTTTAGTTTGGCATATTCTAAAAAGTTTATCTTAGAATTGAATGCTGTTTTTTAATTTGTTTGAATTGAACACCTACTGTAAATATTTCAAAATGAACAGGTGTACCAAGTTTCCAGTTGATGTGACCACATTTTCATGGTTTACTACCTTAAACCAAATCTTTATCATAATAGAGGATATATGAAGAGACAAACAGACAGGAATACAATATGCCACCTACTATCATGGGAGGGGCTAAAAAATTATTCATAGTATAACTGATCTAAGATCTGGAATATCCTAAAATATTCAACGAGTGACCTATTCAAAATGCAATTAAGGCATGAGTGCAATATCAGAGTGTTCGGTCACAAGTTTTATATTTGACTCTTGGATTAGTTATTCTTTTTAGTAAATAGACTTTTAAAGTCATATGAAACATGTTTCTGGTTATAATAATGTTAAAGGGAACTATTGAACCAATGCATGCATATTATTAAACTAAATCCTTTGTCCCGATTTTTACATTTATTACAAATCAATATGTATAATCGACAAATATTTCATTGTGTGATTGTTGATCCAAAACTTTAGCTGCTAATTAACTTTGGGGTTTTGGTTCTGAAGTTTGCGGATAGTTACCTATTGATAAACAATTAACACAGAATCATGGAGCACGTGAAAAATAAGTGAGATGATAGAGTTATCATAAAAAAGAAAATGTGGTATGATTGCCAATGAGACTGTATATTTGTTTGATTTACATTTACCATGCATTCCCATTTGTTAATCAAACTTTGTCATAACAGTTGTTAATTTGGTGTATTAATTGTTTTCTTTCACAATCCATTAATACTATCTTCTTTCCACTTTTGTTTACCTGTTCTTTTATTATGGTATATTCCCACACACCTGCACTGTGAGGTTGCTGAAGTGTCATGGTTAATGTCACAGCATACAGGAAAGTTGTTGACTAATTAGAGTACTGGAAGACAATAAATCAACAGGGAAATCACAGAATCTCATTGCAACCAATTTTATAACTCATTATACACTCAAATTGTATGTCCTTACCTTATCATGTGTTTCCTGACAGCTTCAGCACATTCGATTGAATCAGTAATTTTGGTCAGCCTTAGCTCTGTCATTCCTTGTTTAAAATGACCAGCGGAGTAACTTATATTGACTGCTGTTTCTTCTTTATCTCCTGTTAACACCCAGACCTGAAAAAAAGAATTATGTTTCATACCTATAGGGGATTACATTATGTTTAATGCTCACCGTTTTACTGAATTTCTTAAATTTGATTTTTTCTCACATTGCCTTCATATAAAATGCATTATGGTCAATATTCTTTATACATGAATGAAATGACAAAAAGATGCATCAAACTGTTCATTATTACAAGCAAAGCTTTATCACTATACAAATATAATACCAGCCATCCTTAGACTCTATAGTCTTAGGAACATCTTCCTGTAGATTTTGTTTACTACTAATCAAGCTCTAAATCCCCCTGATTCTTCACTAACCTTAATACCAGTCATCCTTAAGGACTCTAAAGTCTAAGGAACATCTTCCTGTAGTTTGTCTATACTACTAGCCAAGCTCTAAATCCCCCCGATTCTTCCCTAACCTTAATACCAGCCATCCTTAAGGACTCTATAGTCTTAGGAACATCTTCCTGTAGTTTGTCTATACTACTAGCCAAGCTCTGAATCCCCCTGATTCTTCCCTAACCTTAATACCAGCCATCCTTAAGGACTCTATAGTCTTAGGAACATCTTCCTGTAGTTTGTCTATACTACTAGCCAAGCTCTGAATCCCCCTGATTCTTCCCTAACCTTAATACCAGCCATCCTTAAGGACTCTATAGTCTTAGGAACATCTTCCTGTAGTTTGTCTATACTACTAGCCAAGCTCTAAATCCCCCCGATTCTTCCCTAACCTTAATACCAGCCATCCTTAAGGACTCTATAGTCTTAGGAACATCTTCCTGTAGTTTGTCTATACTACTAGCCAAGCTCTGAATCCCCCTGATTCTTCCCTAACCTTAATACCAGCCATCCTTAAGGACTCTATAGTCTTAGGAACATCTTCCTGTAGTTTGTCTATACTACTAGCCAAGCTCTAAATCCCCCCGATTCTTCCCTAACCTTAATACCAGCCATCCTTAAGGACTCTATAGTCTTAGGAACATCTTCCTGTAGTTTGTCTATACTACTAGCCAAGCTCTGAATCCCCCTGATTCTTCCCTAACCTTAATACCAGCCATCCTTAAGGACTCTATAGTCTTAGGAACATCTTCCTGTAGTTTGTCTATACTACTAGCCAAGCTCTGAATCCCCCTGATTCTTCCCTAACCTTAATACCAGCCATCCTTAAGGACTCTATAGTCTTAGGAACATCTTCCTGTAGTTTGTCTATACTACTAGCCAAGCTCTAAATCCCCCCGATTCTTCCCTAACCTTAATACCAGCCATCCTTAAGGACTCTATAGTCTTAGGAACATCTTCCTGTAGTTTGTCTATACTACTAGCCAAGCTCTGAATCCCCCTGATTCTTCCCTAACCTTAATACCAGCCATCCTTAAGGACTCTATAGTCTTAGGAACATCTTCCTGTAGTTTGTCTATACTACTAGCCAAGCTCTGAATCCCCCTGATTCTTCCCTAACCTTAATACCAGCCATCCTTAAGGACTCTATAGTCTTAGGAACATCTTCCTGTAGTTTGTCTATACTACTAGCCAAGCTCTGAATCCCCCTGATTCTTCCCTAACCTTAATACCAGCCATCCTTAAGGACTCTATAGTCTTAGGAACATCTTCCTGTAGTTTGTCTATACTACTAGCCAAGCTCTGAATCCCCCTGATTCTTCCCTAACCTTAATACCAGCCATCCTTAAGGACTCTATAGTCTTAGGAACATCTTCCTGTAGTTTGTCTATACTACTAGCCAAGCTCTAAATCCCCCCGATTCTTCCCTAACCTTAATACCAGCCATCCTTAAGGACTCTATAGTCTTAGGAACATCTTCCTGTAGTTTGTCTATACTACTAGCCAAGCTCTGAATCCCCCTGATTCTTCCCTAACCTTAATACCAGCCATCCTTAAGGACTCTATAGTCTTAGGAACATCTTCCTGTAGTTTGTCTATACTACTAGCCAAGCTCTGAATCCCCCTGATTCTTCCCTAACCTTAATACCAGCCATCCTTAAGGACTCTATAGTCTTAGGAACATCTTCCTGTAGTTTGTCTATACTACTAGCCAAGCTCTAAATCCCCCTGATTCTTCCCTAACCTTAATACCAGCCATCCTTAAGGACTCTATAGTCTTAGGAACATCTTCCTGTAGGTTTGTCTATACTACTAGTCAAGCTCTAAATCCCCCTGATTCTTCATTAACCTTAATACCAGTCATCCTTAAGGACTCTATAGTCTTAGGAACATCTTCCTGTAGGTTTGTCTATACTACTAGTCAAGCTCTAAATCCCCCCGATTCTTCCCTAACCTTAATACCAGCCATCCTTAAGGACTCTAAAGTCTTAGGAACATCTTCCTGTAGTTTGTCTATACTACTAGCCAAGCTCTAAATCCCCCTGATTCTTCACTTTCCTTAATACCAGCCATCCTTAAGGACTCGATAGTCTTAGGAACATCTTCCTGTAGTTTGTCTATACTACTAGCCAAGCTCTAAATCCCCCTGATTCTTCACTTTCCTTAATACCAGCCATCCTTAAGGACTCGATAGTCTTAGGAACATCTTCCTGTAGTTTGTCTATACTACTAGTCAAGCTCTAAATCCCCCTGATTCTTCACTAACCTTAATACCAGCCATCCTTAAGGACTCTATAGTCTTAGGAACATCTTCCTGTAGATTTTCTATACTACTAGTCAAGCTCTTAATCCCCCTGATTCTTCACTAACCTTAATACCAGCCATCCTTAAGGACTCTATAGTCTTAGGAACATCTTCCTGTAGTTTGTCTTCTATTGCTGTTGCACCTAGGACATGTAGTTCATTCTCCATAAAGTCAAACACCTCAGCTAATTTCTCTTCTCTATTCTGTAGGGATGTCCTTGCATCCTGTAGCTTAGCATCAAATAATGCTATGTCTTTCTCTGATAATTTTCTTTGAGCAAGTACTAGTGTTCTTAATCCATACTGTAATAAATACAAACTTTATAATTGAATAGCAAAACAAACAATACTTTTAATCAATTTAAAAAGGAGCAACTTTTATCGTAATTCAAAACCATTGAAAAATATATTTACATTTTTAACCATTGAAATACATTATTACCTACATTCTTACAATAACATTTATTTAGCCAGCCACATGAAAAAATTCAGAATTCTGCTTTGAAAAGTACATGTACAAAAATGTGTAACAATTAAATACAACATTTTCTAACAATACTTTGATTATTGCTTGATATTCACCACTATAATATATATGACTTCTGCACGGCAACTATTTTCTATGTACACAATTAATAATTTGTCAATTGTCTGTTTATATTAAACTATCTGTCCTTACTGAACGTGTACTCTTGAAACAAAAAGATACACGTTTAACAGAAAAGGGTTACATCAGATTTTATATTTGTACAACATCTGTTTTTTGTGAGACCTTCTTACGTATAATTTATCAGTTTTAGAAAGGATTGTGTTGTTTAAAAGAAACAAAAGGTCTGATTACAACTAATTTGAAACTTTAATTACTTACTGTAGCAAACTCATTGACATGTTGTAAGGTTATCTGTTTCTCTCCTTCAATCACTCGGTCTAGAATTGCTGACTCAGCACCCTTACACAGAAGATAAACTTCTCCTACAAATTAAGATACTAGAAATAACATGTACATTAAATTAAAATAAAAGGATGTGTCTGTGGACATGAATTCCCTGCTCAAGTTTTGCAATTTTTCCAAGTTTAAAAGGGACATAACTCTAGAAGGGTAAATGACTAGCTCCCCAATTTAAGACTCTGTCAGCGTGTTGTGGTTCTTGCATTTTGTATGAGTTTCACAACATTTGGATCAGACTAACTCAAGTTAGAGTGTTGAAACTGAATAATTTGCAATTTTCCAAATAACACCTTAATCCTAATTATGGAGGACACACATTCCTTTTGACATTAATTCAAGACTGTTAATATCATTAAACAGTCTCTGATCAATTGTCATGATGATGTCAATTTTACTATATTATAAATATATAAATAAAACCTTTAACCTTTAACCTATTTCTTCACCATGAAAGGATTTCTGTTCTTAGTGGTCCAGCCCTTACAATTGATGCAAAGCTCTGACTAGGATGTCTGGTTAGTTATAAACCTACCTTCTTCATTCTTGATAATGACACTCATCCTCTTTCTGGTTGGGTCAAATTCTAGCACATGCAGCTGTTGATATCTCTTCATTTTACCCTTAAATGTAATCTCAAGCATGCCATCCTTCAGACCATGAAATATTATTGCATACCTGTATCAAGAAACAAAATCATCACTTACTGTAAATTCAGAAATTATTGCGTGCATTTATTATTGCGATTTTGTCATTTTAGACTAAAATGTGATTTAAATTTTTGCGATATTGAGAAAAATCCTGTTTAATTCATATAAAAAATTTCAAAATGCGAGTTTAAATTATTGCGATTATAACCCTGTCGCATTTTTCGCAATAATAAAAACATCGCAATAACTCACAAAAGGGTAACTCGGTCCTACATATTATTGGCATATTGAAGCAAGTAAATTTGATTATCGCCCCTTTAACATGTTGGACAAGGATTATATTACCATATGCACAACCTCATATAATGTTCTACAACTGTATGTAGTTTTATCAATATCAGTCTAGCTGTATAGGACAGGCTGTGACTACAAGGAACAAGGACAGACAAATGCAAAGACAGACAGATGGATGGACCAGTTCCTTCTTTCTAGGCCTAATTCTTGCAGTATCTGAACATGGAAACACTTTTCCTAATCTGTTCTTTCCCTTTACTATACACAGTAAATTTTGTCCAATAACAGACTTATCAAAGCATCTCACTTTGAATCAGCTTATTGCATAACTTTGTTTTTACATTATCAAAGAAGGACACACTTGAAAATCAACACAATTCACCAGTACCAACTGCTTATAGTATATGAACCAGATTCCATCACAAAATATATGTCAGTTTTGTTTGAATGAAAAAATATAAGTCTATTCCCCTTATCAATCAATATCAATTATCATGTTAAAATACAACAAATCATGTTTGTCCTAGATATATTTCAGATCCAGTTTAATTCTAAGATATATCTGGTCTATCAAATAATCCATATAAAAATATACTGACCTTCTACAAGCCTCTACAAAAGCCTTTTCATCAGGTGATGATGACTGGTATTCATACTCCATACCAGTGTGACTATACACATATGCTGCCCCTGTTTGATGCATCTCAGGATGATCCACACGGACTGTATGACATAAGGCAAGTAAGGCAAAAAATTCCTCTATTTCTGGCTATTAAAAAAGAATATAGATCATATTTATATATCTGGCTATCAACAAAGAATATAGATTTTATTTCTATTTCTATTTCTGGGTATTTAAAAAGAACATAGATTTTTATTTATATTTTAAATGGTAACTAGGATTTATCCACCATATTGTAAAGCTATAGCTTTACCATTATCATCTTTCAAACTATCGATTCTTTTAAGTGATCAAATGTTAGAAAATATGTTAATAATAGGGATACCATTACTCATAGAATTTATCCCACTTATTTGTTTATCAACATTTTGCAAATTGTTTGTATCTTTGATTATCCTATTGAACATTATATCATAAAATGGGAAGATCTGTTATTTCTACACTACTGTTTTTAAATGCTTTTTCAGAACAAATAGATAGGAATTGCAGTTAACTTATACTGTGTAATTTTGGGAGAGAACTGAGGAAGTGATAGTGAAGTTGAGGTGAGGACACATTTCACAAATATGTTATGTTTCACTTACAATGGTACCTGATATTCAATGTAATTGCAATACTTCAGTTATAACATATCATATAAATAAACAAAAATTGCAACTGAATAAATCTAAATTTACAACACATCTATTATCAATAATTCTGGGAGTGTTGCTCAAACAATACAATGTCACCCATTCTTTAAATATAATCATGATTACACCTGTTTTTTACATTGTAATCAATTAAATTACGATTACTTGTAATCAGAAATTGCATGATTACTGAGTACATCTGATTACATTGCAAAATGTAATTGATTACAGCTAATAACGATAACTGATAATGATTACCCCATGTCTGACCCAAAGGCAGGATCACTACCTAAAGATGAATACTAATTCATATATTTCTCTTTTGCAAGGGGCATAATTCTAGAATAAAATATCAACAACACTGGATTTGTAACTTTTCATACCATGACTTTATACAAATAAAATGTTGACACAGAGATATGTCTCGCCTGTCTGCATAAAATTCAGAAAAAGACAATCTGATGGACAGCAACATTGCTTATTAATTCAAAGTCGCTGGACCATGATCTTGTGGGCAGGGCCTAGAAATGGTCGACAAATTGAGATACTGATAGTAATGCAACTTTATACAAAATATTATTGATCTGTCTAAAGTAGTTCTTATCAAACTGACTTAAGCAGAAAACTTAACATTGAAAATTGCTAATTAATTCAAAGTCACTGGACAATGACTTAGGGTGCAGGGCCACAAAATAGTTGTCAAACTGATATGTACTGATAGTAATACAACTTTATATTAAATATCAATGATCTATCACAAGTAGTTCATATCAAACTAACTTAAGCAGAAAGCTCAGCAATTGTTGACGCCACTGCCGTCGCTGGATAAGCAATCCCTATGTCTTGCTTTCCGCGACTTTCATCACAGGCGAGACAAAAATGAAGAAAGTATTTGTTGCCAATTAGAAAAGAAGAAGTGCATCTGGAAATGAAATGTTTTTTTTCTAAATTCTAGCACTGTGGAAAAACAAAACATATAAATCTTGAAATGAAATACTAATCTTCAATACCTTAAGTTGATATAACAAAGGTTTTAGGAAAAAAGTCTGTAAGACTTAAGTGTAATGGACATACTGAGTGAAACCTATAGCCTCTTTTGTAACTTATGATACAATACAGAAATATACTGACCATTATAAAATGTTCAAATTCAAATATATATATATTCATCTTGACATAATACCAAAATTTGACTATTTACTATGTTAACTTTTTAGAAACTGAAGAAGAGACAATGAACTCATGTGCAATGACAAATGCTGTTAGATAAGCATGCTTAGAGTATTCAATGAGAGATTTTTTTTGTTAAATTACTTTGTTAATCTCTTTTTGAATTTTTAAAAAATTTCTAAAAACTCAATGAAAATAAATTAGAGATCTGAAATACAAAATACAACATTTTTTTACCTTCCAACTGATATCTAACAAATAAAAGAAGTGTGTTGGAACAATGTATCCATCTATCTTTCATTTTACAATGTCAAAATTTAATGTGGAAAGCATAGAAGCTAATTATTGCTGATGCTATAGGGATAATAATTACCGTCCAGCATCCATTTTCCTACCATGCAGAACATATTTTTTATCATAAAGTCCTTATACATTTTATCTGCTGTCTAATCCTTCTGTCTGTTAAGGCTTACTAATATGGTAGCAAATTTAGTATGAAATTATTTTCCATTTTGTTTGACCTATAACCATTCTTCTATTCACAAACTGTGCTATGAATACCACAACAGTATCTAGAATTTTGTAAACAAATTATTTTTTTTCTTCAAATTTCAGTGTTGCAGTAAAACAACCATGAGTTTCTTATATTTATGTATGTTATCCAAAATAAGACATTTTCTCAGATACTTTAAATTATTTTTTTTTCTACTATTAAATGAACATTTTTCAATGAAACTAAACTGACTATGTTCTTACTGTAAGTTTATGTACAGGCATACTCTGTCCTCCTGTCAGGGACACTTCACACAACATTCCTCCCACTTCTTCATATTTCTTGCCATGTATAGAGCACTGCCTAAACTGCATATCATTCTCTGTCAATGTACCAGTCTTATCAGTAAATAGATACTCTACCTAAAATTAACAGGTACATCATTTGTATTAGTTTAACCAAAGAATGACCTTTCTTTATTGGGGGAAATACAAATGAAACAGGACAATACTACTACATATATCCATGTATAAAAACAAGACTAGTGGGCCCTATGAAAATATATGTGCATAGGTAGTCAGCAGGGGGCACCACACTTCATAATTTTAGGGGGAAGTGACTTCTTCGTACCTACAAAACGGAGAATTCAGAAAGAATTGATGATCACGATAATGCCTTTCATGCGATAAATTTGCCACCATTCTCATGAACTATTAGGAGCCTTTTTTCATGACATGATTTATTTATTGCCTTTTTGTCTGAATGAATTGATAAAGGAGTTAAAAAATACTGCATTGAATTTTGCAGAATCTCACAGCTGATTTAAACATAAAGCTGTTTAGATTCACTCATATTTGTCCTCAATATCAATAAGTAAGTCCAAAACAAAGTCAAGCACCCTACTCCCCCCCCCCCCCCCCAAAAAAAAAAATTCTGAATGTAAAGTATATAATCTTTATTGCAATTTCAATCTTTTCCTATGTGTACTAAGATTTAAGTTCCTATGTGTAGTAAGTTTAAAGTTCCTATGTGTACTAAGTTTTAAGTTCCTAAGTGTGCTAAATTTTAAGATAAGGTTAGCAAAACTTCATGGCAAGCAACCTTAACCAAAAATTTTAACATGAGAATGTGCTAATTTCACACCATCATATTTCAACGTTTAATAAGCCATAAAATCTTGGTAAAAACCATACTTTGGCATTTTGGGACAAATATTTCAAAACTAACCTAAATCCCCTTTCAGTATATCAGACTAATTCAGAAATTCCATCTATCCATCCTTGCATGTTAATTAATTTGTGAAGTTTCAACATCCTCATTGATGTCATTGAGGTAAACCCTTCAGACAAATCCTTTAACAGCCACTTTCCCACAATGCAACAGCATTTCTGAATTGGGCCATCAGTTAGTGCACTGAAACCCTCTTAACTTTGTCCCATATTATGCTACATATAATCTGTAAATGTTTTAATATTGTCTATTATGAAGGCAAGAATAGCTAAAATTCAGATTGTAAGAGCGTAAAACAAATTTCAGTAGTAAACTTCATTGTCCATTAAGGATGTATTCTTCTGATGTTTCAGTCTCGTTGAAATCTAGTTCTGGAATTATTTCCAAAACATGTGATACAAGTGGAAAATATCAATGAATTTAAAAAATGTTATAATCAAACTTAACTCTGTGAAAGAATTGTGTATTTAAAATAGGTAGTTTTTGAGTAATAAATTTTCCCAATTTTATAACCAATCAAGTCAGTCTTTTTAGCCAAACTTTTGAGAAAATGGATGAGGGGTACAAGAAATGATTTTACCAGAAACATGTACATCCCATATCACGTTTTTCTTTTCAAATTTCTTAGATATGTATTTTTTCAATCATTTATAACAAAGAAGTTGAAATAATATGCATTTTGTTCTTAAAATAGAGAAAAATCACAAATTTACAAAATTGACAGCACGGTAAATTTGACATGAAAAAGCATCTTAATATGATAAAACTTTCTTATATTAACACAAACCTATAGTTTTTTTAAGTTAAATTTATACAGGTTGGTCCACTTCATCTTTATTGAAAGTATGAAAAAAAGTTTAATTGTGGAACTGTGATTTTTGTCAATAATAGCCCAAAAATGGGTAAAAATTGATGAAAAATGGGAAAATCATCAAAATTGGGTACTTTCAAAGGGCCGTAGCAAAAAAAGAAGTGCACCACCATATGATTTTTTCTTCACCAATTATTTTTTTACAGTCATATAAACCCAAAAATCAGGTTAAGAAAAAAAGTTTAATTCTAAAAAATTTTGGCTCCTCAGAGGTGTACATCCTTAATGTGAAGTAATTCTAACCTGGCCAAGTTCTTCATTTAGATCAGAAGTATTAGCTTTAGCAGGCTGGTCATTCTCAGTATCATACATCTCAAGGTCCCATCCTATAAACATGGAGCCTACAAACTTCTGTACCTCTGCAGACAAAAACAATTAAAAAATACATAAACATAAAGATACTCTGTAACCTATAGTAAATTTGTACTTCATTGAACGAAATCCAGGAAAATTGGTAACCCACAATTAATAATTATATATATAATGAATCAACAGTATTTAAGTTTGGTGGTGATTGGTCTTGGTGTGTTACAGATAAAAACAGAGACAAGCCCACTACTTTATTTCCTATTGTGACGTCATGAAAAAAGGCGACCATGCCTGATAACATCACATAAAAAGAACACATCTTTTTACAGATCATTCAAAAAGAAGGATTTAGATTGTCTGTTAATCATCTAAAATTATCAGAGAAACAGATGCCACCACCAAATCTCATGCAATACAATATTTATCCACTCTCGACAGTTAAATTCTAAATATTTAAAACACTCATCGAGCCTGGCATTTTAAGATATATAATTTAACTGTCTCAAGTAGATAAATATAGTATCACACTTGATGCAGTAGTAGAATCTATATATATCTCATCCTATAATCTTTATGAAGACAAGGAAATTCTGTATGATTGCCAATGAGACTAATATCCAACAAAGACCAATGGATGAGGATGTAAATTTTTAAAGAGCACTATACAGACTTCAACAATGAGCAAACACTATACTGTTTAGTATTTTATAAAATGCTTTGACATACTAAAATGTGAAACAATTCTAAAGGGAAAACCAGCTGTGATTTGTAGAAAAAATTATTGGTTTTGGAATTTGTTAAGGACTTTGCTTTTAAATTTACAAATTGAAGAAAAATATGCATTTTGCTATTAAATGAGATTACATACAAGACATACATTGATAAAAGAATGATACAGAAAAGTTACTATCCACTTTCCAATGGTGTAAGTATTATATAATACAGAGAACTTACCTACAGTAACATATAATGAGATAGGTATGATATAGTTATATAGCACCATAAAAGCCAGGAAATCTTCTAATGCTGATTTTACCTGAAATAAACAATGAAACTGAAATCCTAAAAGGAGCTAGGAAATTGTTCTCATTAGAAATATGTTTGATTTAATGGAGGTTAAGTTTAAATAGCCTATCCCATATGTATTATTCTACAAGTTAATTTAACCAAGTTTTCATTTATTATAGGTTTAATTTTATTTATCAGTGTTTTTTTCCATTATCACTTTGATGGAAAATTTTGATTAAACTATGTTTCATTTTTTTCCTGTTCAGGGGGAATGTAAATGATTTGTTTATTTTCGAAGTACAAAATAAAATAAAAGTTTCTATTAATCAATTAAAATGGCTAAGACTTGTTTTTTTTAAGAATTCCACCAATAATTAATTTGAATTCTCTCATAGTAAATATCATTTTCTTTACCAGTCCGACAAAAAATAAGTATATTTACATACACAAATTCATTTTAGGATGAGTTTAATATAAATAATAGATATGGAAAAAGTTGAATGGGAGAATAACTGGATGACAGAAATAACCAAAAGACTTCTTGAGCAACTTGAGTTATTGTAAGACTTTCTCAAATAATTAAATTTGATGGCTAAAAACCCCAAAACTCTGCAACAAAAAAATTTGTCAAGCCAAAGATTATGTGAAAATATTGTAAATATTTGATTAAACGAACTTTATTTATGATGGGACATGCTTGTACTTGCTGAGTTATGAACTATTTATGTTCCATAAATGTAGAACAACAAATCTTAAAATCAAAATAGAACTGGTCTTTATAGAACTTATTCACATATTATGCACAACAACACTAATTTTTTTTATCTGTGTCCTACTATCAGTTTTGGTGTATTGTATTTATAACAATTATTGACAGACTGATGGACAAAGTGAAAATTAAAGGGTTTTCGTATTATTGATAGAGTGTCTTTAATATTCTTTATGTCCAAAAGAACAAACTTCATTTATATTATAATTCCTGTTTAATTACTGTTCTTCAAGTCCAAAAATTACATAATATTGCAGTGTCAGATTCCCTAGTTAGTTGTAGGAGTTCAGTATTCAATACATAATATTGCAGTGTCAGATTCCCTAGTTAGGTGTAGGTGTTCAGTATTCAATACATAATATTGTAGTGTAAGATTCCCTAGTTAGTTGTAGGAGTTCAGTATTCAATACATAATATTGCAGTGTCAGATTCCCTAGTTAGGTGTAGGTGTTCAGTATTCAATACATAATATTGTAGTGTAAGATTCCCTAGTTAGTTGTAGGAGTTCAGTATTCAATACATAATATTGCAGTGTCAGATTCCCTAGTTAGGTGTAGGTGTTCAGTATTCAATACATAATATTGTAGTGTAAGATTCCCTAGTTAGTTGTAGGAGTTCAGTATTCAATACATAATATTGCAGTGTCAGATTCCCTAGTTAGGTGTAGGAGTTCAGTATTCAATACATAATATTGCAGTGTCAGATTCCCTAGTTAGGTGTAGGAGTTCAGTATTCAATACATAATATTGTAGTGTCAGATTCCCTAGTTAGGTGTAGGAGTTCAGTATTCAATACATAATATTGTAGTGTCAGATTCCCTAGTTAATTGTAGGAGTTCAGTATTCAGTACATAATATTGCAGTGTCAGATTCCCTAGTTAGTTGTAGGAATTCAGTATTCAATACATAATATTGTAGTGTTAGATTCCCTAGTTAGGTGTAGGAGTTCAGTATTCAATACATAATATTGTAGTGTCAGATTTCCTAGTTAGTTGTAGGAGTTCAGTATTCAATACATAATATTGCAGTGTCAGATTCCCTAGTTAGGTGTAGGAGTTCAGTATTCAATACATAATATTGTAGTGTCAGATTCCCTAGTTAATTGTAGGAGTTCAGTATTCAATACATAATATTGCAGTGTCAGATTCCCTAGTTAGTTGTAGGAGTTCAGTATTCAATACATAATATTGTAGTGTTAGATTTCCTAGTTAGGTGTAGGAGTTCAGTATTCAATACATAATATTGCAGTGTCAGATTCCCTAGTTAGTTGTAGGAGTTCAGTATTCAATACATAATATTGTAGTGTCAGATTCCCTAGTTAATTGTAGGAGTTCAGTATTCAATACATAATATTGCAGTGTCAGATTCCCTAGTTAGTTGTAGGAGTTCAGTATTCAATACATAATATTGTAGTGTCAGATTTCCCAGTTAGTTGTAGGAGTTCAGTATTCAATACATAATATTGTAGTGTCAGATTCCCTAGTTAATTGTAGGAGTTCAGTATTCAATACATAATATTGTAGTGTCAGATTCCCTAGTTAATTGTAGGAGTTCAGTATTCAAAACATAATATTGTAGTGTCAGATTCCCTAGTTAGTTGTAGGAGTTCAGTATTCAATACATAATATTGTAGTGTCAAATTCCGTAGTTAGTTGTAGGAGTTCAGTATTCAATATACTTACTGTTAATTTTTTCTCATTCTGTATAGTAGGGAGGTACCATGAGTTCTGCATGAAGTCTTGTCTGACAAACCAATATTTTAAAATTGTTGATATTAAAGCTTCGGTTAGTAACATCACAATAAAAGCTAATAGAAATGTGTTGAGTCCCCTGCAACAGCAAGAAAACAATATTTAGATAAAGGCTTAATAGAGTGCAAAATTCTCATCATTTGAATGAGTGTTTTCTAGTATCGTAGCAAGTCTTGATATTGATACAAATCAATTTCATTTTTATAATTTTTTTAAATTTATTTCACCTGATCAGATTCAACAATGATATAATTTAAGGTAATTTTATTCCAAAAATAACAAATAGTGATGATAATTTCTTATCACTAAACTAGCTATTACATTGCAGAAATCTTCTATGTTGTGACCTTGACTAAAAGTAGATCCAATAAGATATTTATTATGTATTATATTTGCACCTGTAACCACTGACTTAACCTTGACCTTTAACCTCGTACTATAAAAATCAATGAGAATAACATATTGGATTTTTAAGGCAAAGCTAGTTCTTATAGTTTTTGTTAAAAGCCCCAGAAAGTGGTCAAATTAGCTTTTTATTAGTTTTTTTGGGGGCCCTTTATAGCTTGCTGTTCGGTGTGAGCCAAGGCTCCTTGTTGAAGTCCGTACTTTAACCTATAATGGTTTTCTTTTACAAATTGTGACTTGGATGGAGAGTTGTCTCATTGGCACTCATACCACATCTTCTTATATCTATTTAATGTAGCATGTGACCTCATCTGGCATGTACAAGCTTGTCTCCCATGCAATTTTCACATCTATTTATGAGGTGAACGGTATGATTTAAAAATATCAGTTCCATGTCACAGTAAAATACTCAAACACTGTTTTTTTTTACCCCCTTATTCTTCTTTACCTTTCAACTCTAGAGAATTTGGTAGATTTAGCTTTGGAGTTTAAGGCCATCTTTGTCTGTGAACCTGTATACACTGCACAACCTGCAAATAAAACTCTTGAATATATATTCTTTTTCCTTTTTTCTGTAGAACACAACATTTAGATTGTATATATTTGGTTCGTGTTGCTTAGTCTTTAGTTTTCTATGTTGTGTTTTGTGTACTTTTGATTGTCTGTTTGTCTTTTTCTTTTTTAGCCATGGCGTTGTCAGTTTATTTTCGATTTGTGAGTTTGGATGTCCCTCTGGTATCTTTTGCCCCATTTTTACAGGAATTAATAATCAGTATAAATGTCCTCTGTTCTTGTTAATGTCACTGACAAATGTTTTAAGCATTCCCACCTTTTTAAGTTGGTTGTAGATGAACTACTTTTTTCCCATAACTGCTTCATAGGCTTCTTTGATCTAAACAATTTTTTTTATTTTTGTTTCATAATGACAAATGTGTTCTGGTTTATTTCCATTGCTAGTGATTTGAATCATGTTGATAAAAAAAACGTTAAAACGTAATGATGTATTACATAATACAGCTATTTCAGTCATAAAATACTTTACAAATTAATATTCTCACCATAAACATAAGGTGTATTTTTAAGTCTGGCTCCCCTGAGTAACACATTTTCTGGTCCAAGAGATTTCATTGCATTTTCACCATTTTTATCTACAGTCATTCTGCCTACAAACTTGTAGAGATCTGGAATGGGCTGTTGACATTCTATCATAGCATGCAAAGAACCAAAATCTCCATCAGTCTGGTAATGTTTGGTATCTGGTATACTGTAATGGGTCTAAATAGAAAATATAAACAATATTAAAATTTTAAATATATAAACAATAGTTCATATTTCCAAAGATAATTTAAGACCCACTACTAACACCTATAAAATTTATACATCTTTTACAGCCAATTTCATTGAGTGTGTAGGGAGAGGTAGAATCTTTGGTTAGCTTGCTTGTTAGCTGAACTGTGAAGTCATTATTAGGTAAGGTATACTACCCTCCTTACGAAGTAGTCTAGTCTTACAGACAGATAGATTGGTTATCTGTCGGACTAGTCTATTCTTAAAGGAGGATAGTTTACCTATCCTAATAATGACTTCACAGTTCAGCTAACAAGCAAACTAACCAAGGATTCTACCTTTCCCTACACACTCAATGAAATTGGCTGTAAGAAATGTTAGAATTTAATGTTCACTTTCAGAGTGTTAAGATTTATCTTCAAATACATTGTGGTTGCAGAGGAACAATTCTCTTTTCATTCATTTTATGCTTTGGCCTTAACATTTAAATTAAATAATCACAACGGTTTTATAGTTTGCTCGAATCATAATTTGCATAAAACCAAAGTAAACTGACAACCTTCAGAATACATATAAACAGGCCTATGATTTGAAAAGTAGACATACTCAGAAAATATTGTGTGGGCAAATAATTAACAACCCTTGAATATTTGCGTGTAAAACTATACTATTTTTTTTGGTAAAGTTTTTGATTTACTTGATAAGGAGTTTTTTGAGGATGTCTTAAAGGAAAAGGGTTCATTGTGGTGTACATTTTTACAGACATCATAACAAAATTGATTGGTAATATCAAGTTAGGTCCAGAATTGTCTTTTTACCTTTAGATTGGTTTCTCCATCAAGATTTGCTGTCGTAACATAGCATTTTCCTTCTGTATCATGTGATGATAACAATACCAGATCACATGGAAAGCTGTGGTTCAACTTGACTTTTACTATATCACCAACCTTAAAAAGAAATATAATATGATCTCAATTACTTCCCTTTGAACACTGTAAATAACAAAGGAAATATCCAAAACATTGTAGAAGTTACTCAACAATGATAGGTATCAGATTATAATGTGATATGTGTTGTTCAACTACAGGTACCTAATTCAACTTATTACAGTTACTGGTTGAGGTCCAGTTATTATCAGTGACCAGTTACCTTTACCCATCAATTTTCAAAATAACATACAAGTTACAAAAAAAACCACTTGTACTACTTGACTACAATGGACACTACAGACAGTATGGCCTATAATATTATTAGTTTCCTAGTCAGCACAGAACATGTTCTGAAAAAAAAATGGAAAACTATCTTCTGTCTTAATTCTTTATAGATTAGATTGTATTTAAAAAAAAAGGATTAACTAAAAAGATAAAGAAGATACCAAGTGAACAATCAAAATAAAAACAGACAATACTGTGTCACTAAATGGTGACTATATCTCTAAAATAAAAAAGTGAAAAAAATTACGGTTTGAAATTATAATAAAGCTATTATATAATAATACTTTTAAAAGAGTAATTTCAAGACCCAACCAATTAATCACTACTATATATCCTAAATTTGTTATTTTTATATGCAATAATGGGCCTTTCTTGACAGTTGATCTTGTCATTTACTTGCAATTGTCTCAATCATATATTAATCAAATCATAGATGTAACACCCATAGATCTATGATGAAATCAATTAATTAAATAAAGCATTCCTCTAGGATATTTAACTTTCTTATCATTGCTATATTACAGGTATACATATTCTCTTGATTACCCAATACACTTGATGTCTATCATGAAGAATGATAAAACAAACAATTTTAGATAAACATCATGTTTGATGATCAATTCAGATTTTTTCAGTACTTGGCAACTATTTACACCTGTTTAGTGCAATCTACATTAACAGGTGATTTGTGCTGAAATAGATTATTGCAACAGGTGATCTATTACGGATTTAAAGGGTTAACAAATGATAAGCAACCCCCATCTATTTTGGACAACTTTAGATTGGAGAAAAAACTTGGGCGTCCTTACTCCTTAAGCTCATTCTTATATTCTAACATTGTTAAACTTTTACATTAAGGTTCATTAAGGTTGAATTAATGATAAGTATCTTTAAAAAGATATAAGGGTTCAGGTAGGTTCTTGCCATTGACAATTTTACTCTATTAACTCTACTAAATCCAGTATCTGAATCATAAAAGAAAATTCAACCTACACGAAAACATCTGTATTTGACAATTAAAGGGTTCCAGTACTTTTGATGAAAGCCTAATGAGTGAACACAGAGGAAGATACAAAATATCAAAGTAATTCAGTATTTTATTTAATAGATGAGTCCAAATTTTAAAAATAATTCAGTGTATCTCCATAATAAGTAAAAATGTGTCTCAATTGTTAAACAAACAACAGTCACTGTGGAAAAAGAACTAAATATATAGCAATTAAACAGAAAGGGCATATATAGTATCTCACTACAGACAACCAATAACCAATACAATGTATTTCATCAGTAACAACTATGACCCTTCATGACTCTCAATATATATATATTGATCATAAAACAGATGTGTCCTAACTGTTTATGGCTCTGGATTATGGGAAAATAAGTAAAGAAAACACTAAGTATAATATATAAATAATTGAACATGCTATTATAAGAAATAAATATTTGCATATTTACTATTTTTACTACTATTTAACTTCTTAAATAGGGAATGTATTAAAAACAGTTTGTTTGCAACGACTTAAAAGGAACTAACTACAAATGTGTTTCCCCATTATTTGAAAAAAATTAATTGATATGATATAAGTATAGATACATGCAATTAAAATTAATAATGTCTTCTGTTTAATTTTGATTGGGTGACAATCTCTTTAATGTATATCTCACATTTCCTTTTATTCATATTCAAATTAAAACTATTATCTGGTTTTATTCAAATAAATTCTAAATTTCCCAGCTATTCAACAACAACAAAAGGTTAAAGTCAAGCCACAGTAAAATCCTTTTATAGGATAATAAAAAAATAATGTAATGATTTATAACTTCCTCTTAAGTGGGACATTTGTGAAATAGTTATAATTTGAAAAGTTGCAAATTGCAAAAATTGGCTCAAAACTTATACATATGAAGACCAACTAAGTATTGAAGTGAAATCTGCAAAGCATATTCATTTGAAAGTGCAGGTAAATTTTTTTCAAGGTTTTCTTAGAATTTTTATATTCATACTGCTAAAGGCTATATCAACTGGTACTCAAAACTGTCCTACAACACAAAGTAATGGGATAATAGCAGGACACACGACCAACTTATGAATATGAATAGTGGAAACAGTAAGTCTATAGACTATAAGTTCATGTACACATCTACCTTCCAGTAATCTCACAATCTCTTTCAAAACAAAATAATTTTATCTAAGTGTTTTGCCTGGCTGGTTTGTGCATCATGGTTTGTGAAATGTAGTTGTTAACTATGTTATACAGTAATCATTTAGATTTTTACATATTTGTTTCTCATTTTTATTTTTCAGTCATCAAAATGATTGATACAAGTAAATACAAGACAGGGTCTCTCTACACACTTCATTTTTCTCTTTACATACTATTATGTTTGAGGCTTCTTCTTTTTCATAGTGAACTGCAGAGGTAGATTCATTAGGGTGAGAGGTTTATCTTATCATTTTCCACATCAGTTAACTTAAGACATTGACCTACTCCAAGTTATTAATAATAATAGATTTGACAGAGGAGCTAATAACAGGCCTAGGGGAAGATCTGGCAATTTTTCAGGGGGTGTCACCAGAACAAACTTTCAAAATGTTTATTTTTTATTTTCTTTTATTATTAAGGTAGTAACAAAAGAAATGGTAACACATGGTTTACAAATTTCATTCAAATTTCATTTTTCTTTGATAGCCTGGGTAGTTTTGTGGTAGCGTGCTGTCTCGAGTGCAGGAGGTTAAAGGTTCGAACCCCTGTGGGTCAAAGCAAAGACTTGAAAATTGGTATTTGCTGCTTCTCCACTCAGAACACAGCATATAGAGTAAGAGCAAAGACTAAATAGCTCAGAGTCAAAAGAATGTGTCCGGGTAGGTTGACCGGTTGGTTGACCAGGTAGCTTGACATGTCTTCCTGCAGGGTTTATATTAGACAATATTTTGAATGACAAAGCTGTTTTGATAATCAAACTTGTTGCATTTCTTCATGCTTTCAGTGCTGACTTTGGCAATGTCTCTTTTGCATTTTGCTAGAATTACCACCACAATTTTACTTACAAAAAGCCCATTTGTATAAACAAGTCAAAGTTATAATAATCAAGATCAGTTTTAGGTTTTCAAGCCATGACATGCTAGGCCCATTAAAGTTTGTTTGTAGTTAGGTTTGGGCTGATTTGTGTTTTCCTAAAGAAAAGGGGAAAAAATTAAAAGCATGCAAAAAAAATTAGGTCAAAATTTGACTGGGAAATTTAAAAAGGGTGGGGTATAGGACACAGACACTTGTCTCAGATTTTTATATAACACACAGAAACTAGACAAAGTGATGCCCCCGCACTCCACTCTGAAGTAACTGTTTTATAACAAAATCAATGTAGGACTTTCTTTGAGATATTATTGTGTCTGGGAGACACAAATGATGCCCCCGCAGATGCAAAGTGTTATTTTAAAATACACAAAGTTGAGCATGGGAGCACACAGGTCTATGGTTCACTGTAGGAGGAGTTATCTGGAAACGCTATGCACCTCTTATGCAAGTATATACTCCAAAAACGACAAAGTTCAACTATCTCCCAAAAGAGCAAATATTAATAAAAATCAAAACCCTGACCACATGCACACCTTCAATATATGTACAAACAGCCAGAAAAGTGAAAACTTCCTAGCATTCAAACTGTAGGAGGAGTTATCTGGAATAGCTATATACCCATAATGGGACAGACAGACGGACGGACGGACAGACGGAAGGACGGACAGACAGGGGTAAAACAATATGCCCCCCAACTTTCAGTTGTGGGGGCATAAAAATCTGAGAACAGGGCCTGGGGTACAGGATTTAGGATGTTGCTTATTATCAGAACGATTGACAAATCATTCAGAATAACATTTAAACAATTCAAATATGAATAGATAATACTGAAGAAGGAAAACGCAAAAAATTGTTTTCATTTTCCCACCTCCGCCTCAAAGAAACTGAATTTGCAATTAACGTTTGGTGATTACAAATTCATTGTATAAAAAACATTTCAAGGTACATGTGTTTTGCCTTCAGGTAAATTAATTGATAAGTATATTATAAGTGATAGACAAATTAGTAATTATACTCTAGATGGTGCACCATTTTTGTCAACCTCAGGGGGTGTCAAGTGCACTCAGGGACATCCCCTAGATCCACCTCTCAATAAATATGTAAGACAGAGAAATTATATGTACATGACATTTGTACCTTTTAAATTGTATCAAGATAACAGATATGATAAGTAAAACCCACACAGGTAGATTACAGGTAGATTAATAACCAGGTGATTTGTTAAAAAGGTTGATCTGACAATTATATAGGTGATGAACTTTTATGGTCTCACAAAAATAAAATGCACATCATGACATGTCACAATATCATACTAAACTAAAAATTACCAATCTTTAATAAGTATGCAAATATTTAATGAAGTGTATATTAAATAATCCCCTAATTTACATATTGTTTACACTTTGAAATTACAAGGAAGACTATAAAATCAGATAAAATTAAGGTTATTTCCTAATGATAAAATCATAAAAGTCAGACTAATTTTGTTTTATTTATATTACACGTACAAGCCATCACAAATTAAAACACAGTTAGAAAGTCCATTGAACAGAATTTCATATTATGAAACAAACATAACAGGCTATTGGTCACTAATTAAACTGACCATTAATGATTGTTGGTTGCTTAACATCCAGTGGCAAATATTTCATGCATATTCAGGAAGATTACTGACCATTAAGAATTTGTAGTGGCTGAGAAAAATGTGATGAAAATTTCAAATATGCACATTTTAAAGACACAAGTTTTCAAATTCAGTACGATGTATGGTGAGCCATTACTCACTGATCATATCCTCCTCAAGATATATTTTTAGAAAACAGGACGTAGGAACTGAAAATGTGTCACATGGTATGGCATAACCAGAAGAAGCTTGATGCCATAAATCAAGAATATAGGACTTGTTATTTCTGAGAATGGTAGGAAGTCATGGTTAACAAGTGCAAACCTAAACTCCTTCTGTCACAAATGTTATTGTGTGGAACAATTCTCTTCTGACATTGTCTGAGGAACAAGTTAATCATAAAGACACAATCCTGTTAAAGCTTAGTAATATTTAAAACGAGGTATTTCAAACAACAAATCTCATAGAAATCTATGTTTTATAAAAAGGGCAAACACAGGTTTACATATGTGCAAACAAAACATATCCTTTTCTATTAATTGAATGACTTTGATTACCGTTATGTCCATAGATTTAACTTGTGCCACCTTGCCATCCCTGACAACATATGCCTCTCTGTTATTAACCTCATTGTCAGCTTTATGTCTGAGCCAATCCTCATAACCCTACAAAAAATACAATTTTATAAGTCTGTTATTGTTCACATGTAACAAATCATTTTCCTACATTTCATTGATCAGTATATTTTGTAATGCATTAGTATTGTGAAACGATTTGTTTCAATAAAAGATGTTGGATACAATGAGAGAGCAACCTAATAACAAAAATCAAACATCCTAAGGTCAACAATTGACAATTACCTATAATACAATATTTCAAGCTTTAAAACACTCAAGTATAAAAAAAAAAGTTGAATAAATTTAACAGAAATATTAATGACCTCTCATAGAAAGTTATATTCATCATTAACGTTTAATTGGCAATGTCTTTTAACACATACCGTAAAGCGGGTTATTTTCGCGGGTGTAAAATTTCGCGATTTAAAGGCAACAAAGTATAAGAAAAATTTTGGCAGTTTTTATTTTGGCGGATTAATCCCAATTAAATATTTTGGTGGATACTGAAATGGTTGCAGTTAAAAAGTTGTAAAACTTGACAAACAAGGGTCCATTGTTATTGTTAAATGATTGTTTTACCTGCATGATGTCTTATTTATTGATTATATTTTGATAAATTAATATAGAATAGAATACTGCTACATAGTTATTTGTCACAGGTGTACAAACATCTTGTAAATGTTACGGTTGATTAGTTACGAAATTGACCGGACCTTTAATGTACTAATGAGATTATAAAATTATCATGAGTGACTTGCAACTCTTATATAATTTGACACTAATTAATAAGGATAAAATACCTGACAGAGTACCTTACACTCTTATATTATTATTTATTTCATTATGTAACCAATAAACTAATTAAGACCTGACAGCCAGTGAACAATGGCCTTTGACATTTATGTTGTTTAAATTAACATGAACCGTTATTGATCCGTCGAACTCGAAAAAAATAGATAGTTTACAAAATGCTTAAGCTATTAGAAAGAATCGCACGTGGCATAAATTTTCGCGGAATTTATTTTCGCGATTTCCCCTGGCCCGCCAAAACAGCCGAAAATAAACACCCCGCAAAAATAACCCACTATACGGTACTAGTTAATACTATTTTATAATAAGAATATGAGAGAAGTTCATAGCCATTTATTTTCGGTATTTATTCTCTTCAGAAAAAGAGCACACCAAAAAAAGACCTTTGATCAAGTCAAACTGTAAGTAGAAAATTTATTATTTACTTAGTAGTAGTAGATTGTATGTGTAATATGATCAATGGCAATCGTGCTGTATCAGCCATATGTGATGCTATCAATATCAGTCATGGTTGCAAAGGCTTCATCACATCCCTACCCTGTATGACGTCACGTCATCGATATCAGTCACGGTTGCAAAGGCTTTATCAAACTCCTAATCTGTATTACGTCATGTCACGTGAAAAAAAAATCTTCTGGAGGTATATAATAAAGTTTCTCTAATTCTTCGTCAATTTATCCTTTTCTGCACCCATTGTATAAAAAAATTTAATCAACGTGTGGTTCGTTTGATCTCAGTTCTTCATTGGTTAAAATCCGATTATGACGTCGAATTTTCTTGCTTTCCTCTGAATTTCCTATTGTGACGGCATGAAAAAAGGCGACCATGCCTGATGACGTCACATAGAAAGAACACATCTTTTTGCAGATCATTCGAAAAGAAGGAAAAAATTTGCCTGCGTATTGTTTGAAAATCATTAGAGAAACAGATTCCACCACCAAATCTCGTGTAATACGATATTTATCCACTCTCGACAGTTAAATTTTAAATATTTAAAACGCTCGGCGAGCCTCGCGTTTTAAATTTGAAAATTTAACTGTCTCGAGTGGATAAATATCGTATCACACTCGATGCAGTGGTAGAATCTATATGTATATTATATGGCTTTTTCAATATCACATTGTATCAACCCTCAACTGGTGTCTTGGGTTGATACAGATGTGATATTGAAAAAGCCGTATGATATTCTCTATATATCTAATTCACATTTTGTTTATTTTCATTAAAAAAAATTGTAAGGAGCAAAACTTGAATTTGGTAGAAGACATCACAAACATGACATGTAGTTAATGGCTACTACTTTTCCTATCTTTGCATCCTAAATGTGCAAAAATATAAGGCTCCATATTTATAGCTATTCTGCTTCTAGACAAATATGCATGTAAAAACTGACCTAGTTTAAAGTTATGAATCACAGGAAAAATATTTCTTAGAAAAAATTAGTAATTCTGATGTCAATCGTTATGTTACTTGACATACTGTTTTACACTGTCTAATAAGTCAAGGTCATGTTCCTTTTTGGTATATTTTCACTTGTATAGTTTATGTACAAAATTCCAATATTAATTTAGAGTTGTGTGGAGTGAAAGGTTTTGATATAAAAAAGTATGATGTATCTGATATTTTACATACTGTATTTTTATGGGTAAACATCATAAATGTACTGGCCAAAGCTGACAAACATTTGGCTGTTATAGAAATGAACAAGTGAAAATAAATTCATTTGTGTTTTGTTATACAAAATTAGTATGGTTATACTGTACAACAGTCAATCCCCCTTTATAATTACTAATTTCTCAAAGATTAGAAATTTGTATTATTTACTGAAGCAGAAAAGAAAGGAATCTGTAGGTGTTATATTACGTCAAAATTTATCTCCTTGAAAAAAAATAAAGACATTCAAACAACAAGACAACTACTGAAAAAAGTCTGATATTAGTTAGCAAAATTGTAATTTATGATAGCATTACACTTTTCAGATTCAGCTTAAGTATTTTTTTTAGTTAAAAGTCTATTTCATACCTGTTTAATTGCTGTAACCACTACTACAAATACCAATGGTGTTATACTAGTGGCTGGACTAACTGGACTGTCGATTATCAACTGTAAAAAACAATTTAAATACAAGGTCATTAAAGGTACAACACAAACGTAGAAACTAATACAATTTTTTTTACCAGGAGGTAGAAAATATGGTTAGTTATTTTTTTTTCTACCACATCATATTTCAAAGACAATATTATCGACATGAATAGCCAACTAAATAATAAAAAGAATGATGAGCTTGGACTGAAATAATTTTGTGAATTTGAATAAAAGGCGTTGTTGGGTACATTTATAAAACAGCAACCAAAGGACTTAAAAAATCAAAAGACATCATGATCTGGTCCTCAATAATAGATACAACCATTGTCATACTTCTAATTTTACTATTCATGGGACTTTCAGGGAAAAATTTCCCAAATTCTCTGAATTGAGGGATAGGGGAACCGATATTTTTTAAGGTCAGAATAGGAAAGTATTAAAATAACATCATCATTACCTATCTATCAGTGTTATTTATCCCACTGGTCCACCCTATATTTTTGGCAAATCATAAACCTCATGTGCATTTCCTTGGGAATTCAACATTACAGTGAACACTGTCTAAACATTCTAGCTTGAACTGTTTCATTAGTATGAAAGAGATTTCAATCCTCTTGCACAGAATATTTAAAGCAATTAGAATTCTGTCATTTCTTCATCAGTCTTTTCTGATTGCCCTAAGTATTCTGCTGATATGTATAAAATTACCTGAATGAATCCTACACAAAGGAAATAGAAATTAGCCAATCTTCTAAACTGTTCAAACAGATTCTTGGGTATGAAATTCCATGATGTATACTGTAAAATAAAATTTATTTGATACTGTTTTAAAATATTTATTTTATCTCAAGCAATTCTACCTTCATATCAGATGTGGGCTAAGAGGAGCCAAGATGCTAACAATTGGATATTTTTGGGGGGTTTGTAATGAACAATTGTGTGTTTGAAGAGTTGCCACTGTCAATTGGTGGTTTGAAGATTGCAGTTTTACTGGGGACATAAAGAGTAGACAGTTGTACAAACACTTGCTAAAACAACAGTGGCAACCCTTCAATCAATAAACTCTTATTACTTGTTTAAATGCAATACTAGTAAAATGTCCCAGAAACATTGACAGCAATTATGCAATTTGTTTCCAACTGTCAACCGTTGAATTGATGGCAGACATCATTACATCTATAGCTTCGTTATTATTGTAATAGAATATACTGTAAGGAAATCAATTTCCTTTTGGGATCCAGGCCAGAACATTCTACAAAATTATAAACTGTTTTATAACAATTTCTTGTGTTTTAATGTTTAAAATGCAAAAAATGGTCTGTATTTCAAACTGAGTAGGATATATCTTGATTGTTTTTTTAAATTTGTGGCATTTTTATTTTCTTAGGGTAATCATATTTAACAATATCAAATTAATCTATAAATTCAGGCCTACATATGATAATGGAGAAGCAGAAGCAGGCTTTTACTGCCAACTTAACATTCAATTGTATAACCATGGCCAATATCAGAGAAATCAGAATTAAAATTTGTGGTATGTAGGATTGACTTTGCTGCAAAATGTATATGAATATTGGCTTTAGCATAAGAAAATTGTCATAGTTCATTGCTTTTATATAGACAGAGGAAATCTTAAGAGCACAGATATCCCCAACTTAATCACAATCACAGTTTTCAGAAAGGTGATCGTAAGTCCATAGCAAATGTATATCAATCATAAATATCCAACTTCAAATTTTCCTTACTAGAAACATTCTTTTTCTGAAAGGCTCATTATATCAATCTGCCTACAATGGAGGGCTGTGATACCTCACAGGTGAAACATGTACATTTCTCCATTGTAAACCTTCAAAATCATCATAAGTGTATTATGGATGGGACTGAAAATACTTGCATTTGTGAGAAAAATATAACTATAAATTTAGTATGCACATTATGTAATCAAGAGAACCACTTGTAAACATTTTGATTGTCAGCCAATACAATATAAATAATAAAGAATCAAAATCTAATCAAAACCATTATTTCACTTAAGAAGTTCATTTAAGTAATCTGAAATGTCTTAGATTTTGTCTATAAACATTACACAGTGGCACCTACTATCAATCTACATTGAATAATCATCTCTGAAAGAGCAATTCATCAAAAGAATGAAGTAAAAAAAAGATATGTACATATTAGCATACTACTATTTTCCTTTCAATTTTTCTCAAAGCAATAAGTAACATCTTGAAACAACAAAACCATTTTAAGCATTTTTAATAAAGTTAAAAAAAAAAATCTGAATAAATTTTACATATCAAGCATAAATATAGCAATCATGTCAATCAAACATAAATATTATACTTCTTTGATAATTGGTTAATTTCATTGGTCAGAGAGGAGATATAATTTTCTCTCTCTGATAAGCTCTACCCTCATTACAGCAACCATTGGCAACTGGTGGTATTTCATCGCAATACCAAACTGCAGAATATATATGCTTAAAAAAAATTTAGCAACACAACTTCTGACTGAAAATAAAGTAAAACAAACCTTGATTTATCTTTCAGACTGTGTTTTCTTAATCTTCTAAAGTACTATAGTTATTTTGGTGAAATTTCAGACAGCTACACTGTTCACAAACTTTGAAGGAAGGGGTCAAAATTTAGAACGTTACAATTTGAACATTTTTTAAAAATATTTTGCACATGGTCTAGCTAAAAAATGCATACACAGCACAAAATTACCAAAGTGGTAAATATGATGGCATAATTGATTACATATGAACAGAAATTGAAATTTTCCCCTGCAAAAAATGAGAGGAAAACAAGAATGTGTCCATCATAGTACACAGATGCCCCACTTGCACTATCATTTTCTATGTTCAGTGGACTGTGAAATTGGGGTCAAAACTCTAATTTGGCATTAAAATTAGAAAGATCATATCATAGGGTACATGTGTACTAAGTTTCAAGTTGATTGGACTTCAACTTCATCAAAAACTACCTTGACCAAAAACTTTAACCTGAAGTGGGACAGACGAATGGACAGACGAACTACGAACGGACGAAGGAACGGACGCACAGAACAAAAAACATAATGCCCATAGTTGGGGCATAATAATTGGGAAAGGCAATCCCCCCTCAATTTTTATTATATTTTTTTAGTTATCTTATTTGTCAATTCAACAATTCAACATCCTTTAAAACAGGAATGCTGTTAATTTTCTACTAAGATATGAGCCCTGAAAGTTAGACCACCATTAATCTCTATGGAAATGTTGCAAAACTTTCTTTGAATAGTATATGACTGCTTTCATTGGAGTATTATCTAGTATATTTACTGTTGTTGAAAGATTTATAAGCAACAAAATAAAGATAATGCTGATAAGATACAGTCAAAGAACTTGAAAACATGGAAGTCCCAAGGTGTGTGTTATTTTTCTTGCAAATATTAATACCTGGCACAAAGTATGTAGAAATTAGAAATATTCACAGCTTTTGTCTCGTCAGCCAAAACTACTTGAATCAAGAAAGTTTATCAATTATTTCTGACATCAGATGATTTAACTTTCTTTCATTCATTCTATACATAAATGTTTTTTACTTCAACATTTTATGCTCATAATAATAATAAGATGTGGTATAATAGCAAACTAGACTACTATCAACCATAGCCCAAATGAGGAGGATTTTGGCAACTACAGGTCACCATACATCCTTCAACAATGAACAAAACCCATGCAGCATATTCAGCTATAAAAGGCCCTGCCAGACATGACAAAATGCGATACAATCAAACTAGAAAACCAATAACCCAAATAATCCAGTCGTTATATTCTGCTCACAACGATCATTCCATTAACCTGGAGGATACTAACCGTGCTGAATTATTCGAGTTAGTAATGTATGTACCTTACATGCCAATTTTCTTTCATGAATTGCAAGTAATTAGAATATGAAAAAAATATACACATATGAAAGTAAAACATGTTTATTTAAAATAAACAAAAACCTGTATGTAAATAGTATAGGGCTCGAAACAGAAATTTGCTAAGCATTGTAATTTAATTGAAACAGGCTCTTTATCTTTGAAGCTGTTTTAGAGATAAGTCAAATACAATTGAAAAATGAAAAACAGGAAAGTAAATAAGGAAACTCAAGGATAAAAAAAACAATGTAAGGATGTGGTAAGAGTAAGAAGAAATCTGATTGCTAAACAGGAAAGCTCATAAGGAAATTGAAAAGATGAAAATAAGAAACAAACTTATTTGACTGCTTTAGCGATTACTGAACTTTATATGGAAATCCTAAAGATCAAGATTTTTCTACAGTTATCACATATACTTAACATTATCAGGCCATTATTAAAATAAATGGGGAATGTGTCCATTGGACACAGATGATGCCCCCACTTGCATATAACGTTATAAAGGGACATAACTCAAGAACGGTAAAAGTGACGCTACCCTAATTGGTACTTGATCTGAGTTTTGTGGTAATAAGCATTGTGCATAAGTTTCATAACATTTGGTTGAGGCAAACTTTAAAGAACGGAAACGAAAAATTCAGCAATTTTTCCATTTGTAAAGGGGCATAGCTCTAGAACGGTAAAAGTGACGCCACACAAATTCAAACTTGATCTGTCTTTTGTGGTAATAAGCATTGTGTATCAGATTCATAATATTTGGTTCAGGCAAACTAAAGTTAGAGAACAGAAACGAAAAAATTCAGCAATTTTTCCATTTGTAAAGGGGTATAACTCTAGAAAGGTAAAAGTGACGACACCCAAATTCAAACTTTACTTTTTACACATTGATGGAGAGTTGTCTCATTGGCACTCATACCACATCTTCTTATTTCTATTGATCTGTGTTTTGTGGTAATAAGCATTGTGTATAAGTTTCATAACATTTGGTTGAGACAAACTAAAGTTAGAGAACAGAAACCAATTTCCAGACATACGGACGAATGTACAGACAGACAAGGGTAAAACTTAATGGCCCTCCGCTAAGGCGAGGGCATAAAAATGTCTGTTTCCCCTCCCACTACCAACATGCTCATGGTAGGCCAGGCAGGCAGGTTTTTTTTTAATATTGTTTTTTATCATTTTTGTACATTTTTTTGTATATATTTTTGTGCTAGCTTATTTGTGAAAAATGATGCTGTCCTTAGTTGTGTTTCATGCAATATTAAGCACTGAGTGAAGTGTCATTGTATTTTCAACCAATTTCTGCATTCAATAATTTCAGATACTGCCCTCATGAGTTGCACATAAGATCCCTTACACATACATGTATTATATCTCAAATCACTAGTAGCACTTTATATGGTTTTTCTATGTATGTACCATTTATTTCTTGATCATCCTCTGCTTCATGCAGTCAATCTGTACTGTTTATTTACATATATAATGAAAGAACCTTAGTGAGCGCGCTCACATACCCCACGACACAGCAGGGGCAAGAGGAAACAAACATTCTTAAAATGATAGCCTCAATGATCCATAAGAAGAAGGTCAAGGTCAAATGAAATCTGCCAAAAACAGACAACATGACAGATATGATGAAAGAACCTTAGTGAGCACGCTCACATACCCCACGTCCCCACATTGTCATTGGAGAAATAAAATAAGTTTAAGAAAAAAAAATTGCATCAGAAAAAAAAATTGAATCATAATTTCCTGTCAATATGCACATCTACATAGTATTTCCTTATTATCTACACAGTTTCATGAAATTCTGTTGTGTGGTTTGAGAGGAGTTGCGATGACAAAAGGTTGCAGTAGTATATTGGGCAAATGAGTTCAAAGGGGCG